CGTATTGCTGGCGGCTACTATGCACTCATGGACATGTCTCAACATGCATTACATGCCGCATCCTGCGTTCGTTTTGTTGTCATATTGCAAAGCTTTTATAGTACCCTTTGTATAACTAACGTTACAAATACCTTATGACAACTCTTATATCGTTTTGAATACCTAAAAAATCTCATAAACTACATGTACCTGAAAATGTTGTAATATTCATTAGTTGAATCACGCCTGCGATATGCTATTCTGAGTTGGGGAAGTGCCGCATATTGCCATTTGCATACTGCAAAGAAGTTGCAAATGTTGAAAGTAATATCTGACAAAAAAGATTAGTCCATCTGATAAAATATTTTCAGAGACTGGGGAGTTGGCCCTAAGACAACTGTCTCTGCATCAACTAAATTCATGTACAAGCCGTTTATAATACATTTAATATTTGTTTGAAAGAAAGTTATTTCAATGTACGCTGATTATTTTCAAGCATCTGTCCGTATAGCTAGAATTGAAATGACTCATACGCAATTATGCAAAACCAATTTCTGATAGAAAATTCAAAGTGCGGGACTTACGAGGTTTTTTCAATGACAGATATGGTTAAAAAATTGGAAAATGAAAAGTTTACTGGCGCTAACTACCATTATTTACCATATCTCCCCTTCCTTCGAATTTCTATGTGACGAAATCGCCAATAGATAGAATGATGGAAGAGAGTGACTTGCTCTTCATGATGAAAACATCACAAACTATCAAAAAGTATTACATTTCCCGTGCCTGTAAGGAATGGATTCACTCACATGTGAATTAACGTTCAATATAAGGCAATTTCTTATTGAAGCTAAATGAATTTGATTCCCTGTAAAATTGTTTCTATCACTTTTTTACATAGGAGTGATGGTTTCCAAGATTCTCGAACAAACGCGTTTATCAATATGGCGACAAATGCTTCAGCTCTGTAATCACGCCAATTTGAACATATCATTAGAAAGCAATAATCTAACGATACCACAAAAAAATATTATTGTTACCAAAATTGTAGGATTTCCTTGGCCTACTGACCCACCGGTGTCGCCCATGGCTTCATGGTACGAGGTCGGCCTCACCGCTAACATCTATACACATACTATATGTTGTCTAAATAAATTTAATTCTAATTGATGACAGAATTGCGTGGGGAAGAGAGTGCTTGCTTGACGCCGTTTTTGTTCCTGGTGACGGCAACAAGTATCAAACAGTAACTGAGAGCTGATTTTCGGTACTACATGGGAAGTCAAAGAAGCATTAAGCACCCCCGACCTATCTATTCATTATTCTACCAACCGATCAAAAACTGTTTTTTATGACGATTCAAAATATGATTTTTATAGTTCGACAAATTGGATCTGGATAAACTGAGGGAGATGATGACAGGAACTGGGAAGCAACTGAACATTTGGGTGCAACAGTTACTGGAACACTCGAGTTAACTACTTGCAATTTTTGCTCTCATCTGAGACTGAGACCGTGAGAGAAGCAGAGGCAAATGTTAGGTGAGATATATACAGGGTGTCCCGAAAAAATGTGCAATATTCTACCAGCGGTTTCTAGAGTTTAAAATAGGAAGAAAAGTTTATATAAACATAGGTCGACAAACGTCCCCTAAGGGCGCTAAAGTCTTTTAAAGGGGCTCCCCTGAAGATGGTTTTTCCTTAATATTTCCGAAACGTGTTGAGATAAAGACATAAAATTTGGTATTCTAGCCTAGTTTTTTATGCTGGATTTAAAAATATTAACAATTTTAGACAGTTTTGTTTTTAAGCGTATGTAACAGGAACGGACTCAGGTTATTTTAGCCCCAACATTTTTGTGTGATTCTATTTTTGAAATTCAATTTTAGAATTTGAAAATTTAGGGTTTTCTACATAAAAAAGGTACTCTTATTGAATATCGATAAATTGTGACATTTTTGAATAAAATCAAACTATAAAAATTGTCACATGATAGGAAATGTACTGCGAATTTAAATGAATTGTTGATTGTACATAGTTAGCCATGACTGCAAACAAAAATCGTTTTTATTTGTTGTGACTTATTTTGACGTTAAGCTGACATTGTGCAGTGTAAAATTACTAGATTTAAATCAAAATTTTTATTAAATCGATTTAAAATGCCAAGATTTACAGACAGAGAACTGACTGACATGCATTTTGTGTACGGGTTTTGCAATGGCAGTTCATTGGCAGCCGTAATAGAATATCAAAAAAGATTTCCCAATCGCATAGTACCTGGAAGTCGAATGTTTACTGATATTCACCGCTATTTGTCAAACCATGGAAGTTTTCAGCACATGCAGGGCTCAGGAAGGCCACTGGGAAAGCATCGTATGGATATTGCTTTAAATATGTTTGAAAATAATCCGCAAATAACCATTCGAAATGTTTCAGAAATTATGGATATACCTCGATCAATAGTAAGAAAAATTTATTAATGCCTATTTGATAGTTGTCCTAAAAATAATAATTTTAGATAGGAAGAATGACAAGAATGCAAGGATTACATCCTTATCATTTTAAACGGGAGCATCATTTAACGGAGGCAGATTTTTTACCACGAATCGAGTTTTTCCAGTGGATATTAGCAAATGAAAACACTATTCCTAGAATATTATGGTCGGATGAGTCAATATTTACTACTAATGGTGCTTTTAATTTCCACAACATGCATCACTGGTCAGATGAAAATCCAAAAGTTGTTCGCCGTACAAATTTCCAACATAGATTTTCATTGAACTTATAGGCAGGAGTAATTGGGGATCAAGTAATTGGGCCTATTGTACTTCCGAATCGTCTTAATTCAGTGGTGTATCTGAACTTTCTTCAGAATGAGCTCATGGATATAATACCATTGGATGTGCGCCAGCAGTTTCAAGAAAATATGTTTTTTCAACATCATGGCGCCCCTGCACATTTTGGACGCAATGTTAGGCCGAATAGGTCCTATAGCGTGGCCGCCTCGTTCACCTGACCTAAATCCATTGGATTTCTATTTTTGAAGGTCATTAAAAGACCTAGTTTACTCGGCTAAAGTAAATACTCAAGAAGATTTACTTCATAGAATAGATGAGGCTGCAAATGAAATAAGAAGAAAAAGGTTTTCCACTTTTCGGGCTACGCAATCATTAGTTCGTCGAGAGAGACCCTGTATCCAACAAAATGGAAATTTATTTGAACACTTATTGTAAAGCTAGTTATGAGTATATTCAACTGTATGTCTTCTTTTTTAAACAAATTTCAATTGCGTTCGTGGAAAACATTTATTTATTTTGTTTTTGCCTAAAGGTTAGCTATGTTGCAATAGAAATATGTATTTATTATTATATTAGTTTTATCGTTGTCATGGCTAATTATTCAACAATTCATTTAAATTCGCAGTACATTTCCTATCATGTGACAAATTTTTTAGTTTGATTTTATTCAAAAATGGCACAATATCGATATTCAATAAGAGTACCTTTTTTTATGTAGAAAATCCTAAATTTTCAAATTCTAAAATTGAATTTCAAAAATAGAATCACACAAAAATTTTGGTGCTCTAATAACCTGAGTCCGTCCCTGTTACATACGCTTCCAAACAAAACTGTCTAAAATTGTTAATATTTTTAAATGCAGCATAAAAAACTAGGCCAGAATACCAAATTTTATGTCTATATCTCAACACGTTTCGGAAATATTAAGGAAAAACCATCTTCAGGGGAGCCCCTTTAAAAGACCGTAGCGCCCTTAGGGGACGTTTGTCGACCTATGTTTAAATAAACTTTTCTTCCTATTTTAGGCTCTAGAAACTGCTGGTAGAATATTGCATACTTTTTTCGGGACACCCTGTATATAATATTAGGGAAATATTATCAAGCTAAGTGATCACAAGGAGACTAACATTTCAAGAGATTTTTGCCTCAATGAGAAATAACAATCGAATCCAGAAAAACATCTATTACAAGCTTTTTTGGCAGCAAAAGATGCGTGAAACACACAACCCTTTAAAATTATTGATCATTATCCAATAATTGCGGGTTAAAGATGCCAAGAAAGCATAGAAGAAAAGCGGCTGCTTGTTATTATTTTGCTGTTAATTACCGTACTGTATACAAGATGCTTCACAAATATTGAGTGAGAGTTTGGATTAAGAAAAGAAAAAATAACAACATAATGGAAACATTATTAGACCAACTAGAATTGGAAGATCAGGTATATTATATAAACTTTCTTTGAACGTCCGTTGCTGACTTTCGGTATTTTCTGGACAAACTAAAGCTTGCAATGGAAAAACAATACACACATATGCTGAGTTTAATTCTAGCAACTGGGCGATTTTTGTCCATGACTGATTTTGTCAGATTTTTATTTTTGAGGATTTCTGGCGAACAGTCCCGCAAATTGGGATAAGATTCATATAACTCTGTTATCTCCTCTATCATGGATCTTGTCCAACTGAAACTAGAAATTTTCCTTTTTAAACCTCTATTTTTACTTGGTACACTCATTTCCGCAAACACAAGTTTTACGTCACTATACGAGCCCCTTCCCACTTCAGTTGGCCCACTTCAAGATTTCTACCAAAATATGCCTTTATAAACTAAACACGACGAAACTATTTACTTCTAAAACAATTTATCTTCTCAAAAACAATTTAGATACACTCTAGTCGTAAAAAATTCATATTTGAAATCACTTAGACCTATAACTAATAGAACATGTGAACAAATAAACAATGTGCGAATAAATGCGCGAAGTTAACAAAGCAACAATTGAAAGATTACCATTGGGCAACATCACCTTTATTTTTTATTACGGCTGAAATTCTTTGGGGCATAGTGTTAACCAAGCTTTGGCCAAAATTTGGTGTAAAACAATGCCATATTTCTTGAAGCTTTTGTCTCAGTTCGGTGATTGTACGAGCAGGATGTTGTCGTAGAACCTTTTTCATCTCGTCCACAAAGATTCAATAGGTGACAGATCTGGACTGCTAGAAACCCATTTTAAAAGTGGTACATTATCTTCTTCCATCCATTTTATAGCCTTTTTTGAGGTATGGCATGCTGCACCATCTTGCTGAAAAACAATATCTTGGCCGGATGACAAACATTCATTCATCACTGGTAAAAGCGATTCTTCTAAAATTGCCAAATATTTGTTTGTATCCACATTTCCATCAATAAAATGAAGTTTTCCTACTCCTTTTTGATGACATACTGCCCCAGACCATAATGGATGCTGGAAATTTCACTTTTATCTTCAGAAAGTCAACATGGAATGCTTCATTTTTTTTTGCGAATAACTCTACTGCGACTGTCACCAACACAAACTTCGAATTGGGCCTCATCACTCCATTGTATTGCACACCATTCTTGAGGTGTCCATTGTCTATGTTCTTTAGCCCATCTAAGCCGATTTTTCTTTTGCAGTGGAGTTAATAGTGGCTTTTCTTTGGCCTATAAACAAGTTGTGCAACTTTAGGGTTTTTACTTCAATTTTTTTTTATAAGAGAACTTACCTTGCAAGTGCTAAATCCCAGTTTGTGGGCCTCTCTATGAGTTGTGGACCTCGAAATTCTTCTTCCAACAGCGACACTCCACAGAGCACTTAATTGTAAATAATTGGCACGCCTGTTTTTCACGATTATTCTTCTTAATGCTCTTCGGTCGGCATTTGTGATATTACCTTTTTTCACCTATCGTGGCTTAATATTATCTGAACCAGTTACGTTATATCTTCTGAAAATATTTCTCACACTGTACCGCGCGGTAAGCCTAACAAAGTTGCAATTTTTGAGTTTGATTTCCCAGAATTAAAAAATTTAATTATCAGTAACCGAATTTTCTCACTAATAACCTTTCCTCTACCCATTTTGAAAACCTTAACTACCCAAAACTATTTTAAACGTATTCTGACAGCTGTGATTAATAAAGACAATTGTCATGGCTTTTATTTTCCACAGCCATATTTTAAACCTATAACACCCTGCGACATTTTCATTATTTGTGTTTGATAAGAAAAAAACTATGATTTCAATAGTTGGGCCAACTGAAGTGGGAAGGGGCTTGTATATAACAACATAACTCCACGTACAGCAAGTGCAATAAATGTATCATGAGACACCTCACGCCTGTTCCCACAAAGAAATAATACTGTTCATCAGATTTTTATTTCACGAGAAGAAAATATTCAAAAAAATCTCATTGTGGATCTGCAGCTTAAGGAATAAAAAACTTCGATAGGTATGGAGACTTCCGCTTCCCTTTTTCACCCTTAACTACGCCCGTAGCTAGTTCCGCTGCCCTGGAAGTATAAGGACAACGATGTTTTGAATTTTTTTCACCACTGCACGTAGATGATGCGTGCCGATAAGTATTTCGATTCTCGATCGAGGGTCCTTCTAGCCAGACAGGCGCCGCCTTCGCGCAACGACACCAATGCCATCAACAGGATATTGGTATAACCTTAGCCCACTTTTTCAACGCTCTAGAAGCGCTTCCCATTTGTACACATCGTCCATCGTCAAAATCAAATCAATAATCTTCACAGGCTTTGAATACCATTCCACAATCGCAACGTAATGGATACTTTCTTACACCATGAAAGTGATCTGTAGTTTCAAAAGAGCGACTGAGATACTCGTATTCTTATATCTCGAAATCTAACTTAACTTTATCAAAACCGATGATCAAAAATTACAAGTACATTATCCCCAGTCTAGTGTGTCAGCTTATACGCATTCTATACTACTTGTGTATTCAACACTAATAAATTATTATTATTACATATTTCCTCAAACTCCAGTCTTTTATTGGATTTTTGTTGCCAACTTTCACAACAATGCTTTGTCTCTTAACCCAGCTTAACAGCTCAATTGGGAGGCCGATATATCAAAAATATTCATCAAGATTTTCTAGCTGACACTAGTTCTAATAGATGAATCAAACTACATCATTTAGTTTAATATGAAAAACTCTCATTTGAATAGCTAGAATTAGTTCACGATTTCAACATTATATGACCACTCAAGGGCCATGTTAATAAACTGGTAAATGATAAACAAATGTATTTATTTGAATCACAACAATAAGGTGAAGTTTAGTCAGTTGGCTACTCTCACACCAAACTATTGTGCTAGGAAATATGTACATACAATATAAAAAAGATACATACCGTCCTAAAAATAGATAAATCGGTTTGATGTTCAACTCAGTAAACTAATGAAAAAGAGAAACAAAGTATTCAACTGACAAATCCATGCTATGTTGCTTTACCAAAGAGGAACCATATGAGAACTAATAATGACTGGATGAATATACAAAAAAAGAAAAGATTCTAGCAACTATTTACAACAGATCTAACAGCAGATTGTGAAGCAGCTTCATGAGTATTAGAACACTTTTGCTTCTCCAGGCAGGGTCGGTAGACTTACTGTATTGAAAGTAAAACAATTTTGAAGCAATGCGGTGTACTGCAAAGGCATGGTAAGCTTATTATTATGCCCCAGATTTCTAAGAATAATGCTTCTTCTATTTATCAATTTACTATAGAGATAAATGAGATAAATATATCCTTTTTCTAAAAACTATCTCTCACGTAAGTAGTGTCACTGCTATTTTGAATAAAATGTTTAGTATTGCATCGGGTTTGATGAGTGTTTCGGGCAGTGCACAAATTCTTGGGAGTAGGGGTCATATATGCAGTATTTCTTGATTTAATATGAGAATCAGGGCCACATAGACAAATCGTATTGCTTTTTTTCTCTAATTTGACATATTTTATAAGTTACGTACTATAAATATTCATTACATCCATTACTTCAAAAGCGCTTTTCGATAGGCCTAATTTGCGCCCTAGAAGCAAATTTTGCTTCTTGGATAGTAAAACCGGGCCCAAGAACTCCAGTGGCCCAGCTATCAGTAGTCTGTACACGGTTTCGGATTGGAAGGAACGATGTAGCACTTTCACCATTTTTGAAACACACAGAGATGGATATTCGTAAGCATGCACCATATCTTGAATTTTATTCCATAACCTATGCAAATATAGCAAAAGGTTTATTTACTCAACACCTTTCGCTTTTCTAGATACGTTACTTGCGTACAATGAATCTTGAAGTATATAGAACAAATTATCACATTTCCATTTCAATGGCAGATGTAAAGAAGAAAATATGCGTGATTATTATATCTGACAGATGCGTTGCGTTACCGATGTCACCCATTTCGTATTAATAGAACGTCGTTTCCTTGTAGTAAGAATGCAATATTTACAAGCGCCACCCTGTAACTCCAAATCCCCAATTTTCAACGATTCCAAAAAGTCTAAAAATTAACAGGCAAACGTTTTATTATTTTACTCGTTACACCGTCGCTAGTAAATCAATTTTCAAAACCTACAAAGCTTTTTCGTCCATAGTATAGTATATAGTTCAATTCCTAATACTCAAATGCTACCCGATTTTAGATAGACAGATACATTTATTGTCTCGTAAATCATGAAAAATTACGTAGGACTCGTCCTAAGAGGAGGCATATAGCACACATAATTAACAGTAAAATAGCTTTAAGAGAAAAGTACACAAATTTTTCATAGATCTAGAGCAGAGTTCCCCAAACTTTTTTGTGTCGTAGACCCCTTGCCATGTTTTTCCGTGTTGGGTAGACCCCCTACTTACCTGATATTGATTTCCTGTAGTGAAGTTTAGTGTTAAAAACTTAAAGTAAAAACACATGTTAATTTATACATTTATTAATTGAATTTAAATTAAAACTACTCAAAATAAAATTCTGTATCTGTTATTTAAAATATGCGTAACATTAAATAAACAGGTGTCTGACCAATAAGTGCCCGCATTGGGAATAAGTGCCCGCATTGAAAAAAATAAGAGGGATAAAATAAGTGGAAAATAAAAAAAAGTTTTTTACTTAAAATAGTACAATAAGCGAGTTCGTTTATTAATTATAACATAAACGTATGTTCTACAATAATTTCACTGTTAGTTTGATTAAATTCCGCTTCTTATACGTTTAAGTTATCTAAAAATAGGCAAAAAGTTAACGAATTTTAGTGTGCACCTATCCTTGAATTTTCAGAATAATTAAAAAAAAATATTTTCTATAAAGGGGGATTCTTTAAAAAAATCAATGCGGGCACTTATTCCCAATGCGGGCATTTATTGGTCAGACACAAATAAACATAAAATAAACTATAAATAAAATAACATAAGCAATAAGTTAATATTTTTAGTGAGAAGGATGAACCTGATGCTTTAATAATAAATTATCATTTGGCGTCAATTTTGTAACGGTTAATCTTAAATCTCCTCGGCTAATGATGTCCAGTCTGTTTCTTTTTTTCGTTAGGAGAATGGTAACAGCGCTGAACCCCCTTTCCACTAGGTATGACGATGGAAAGGAAATTAAAAATTTCCTCGCTATATTCCATAATACGGGATAAGTAACGGGTATGTTGTTTCGCAGCCACAATTGCTGATATCCGTTTTTAAACTGAACCTTAAGTTCTTCGTTTGTACTTAGTTCAGTCAGTTCCTCTTGTATTATGATATTCGTTTCGTCTATGTCACCATATGGATTAATTATCCACGGTGGTATTACCATAGTCAAAATATCCTCAAACCTAGATTCAAAATCTGAATAGAGGGCATTTAAATGTTGAACGTAAGTTGAAACGTCGTCTTCCTGGCAGCTTGTCTGTGACAAATTGGGGAACTGAGAAAATTTGCCCCTTCCAATATTTTGCTTCATTAGTTTAACTATGGCAAGAACCGCTGATAAGATGGACTTTGTTTTAATCAAATTTAAACTGCCGCCTTGTAATTGCAAATTAACCATATTAAATTTTGTAAACAAATCTGTTAAATAGGCGATGTCTGTTTTTCTCTTCATTAAATTTTCTTTTAAAATTGTATCTTTAGTATCCAGAAATTCTAAAATAGTCTCAAAGTGTTCGTCATTTTCTTCACACAACTTCTCAAATAACTGCGTATTCAACGTGTTGCTTCGGATTCGGTTTACTGCATCAATGACTAAATGAAGTGATTCATGCAATCTAATACTCAAATTTTTAGCAACTAAATGTTGTCGATGGATGACGCAATGTATTGCTAACACCCCTGACACATTTTGTTTTAAATAGCTTATAAATCCACGATAACGTCCAACCATGGCAGGTGCTCCGTCTGTAGCTACTGATATTATATTTGATAAAGGAATTGCTTTTTCAGTGAAGTAATCCTTCGAAACATGAAATATTGATTCACCTTTAGTGTCGGTTATCAACGTTCTTGCGAAGAGCAGTTCTTCGTAGATTTCTTGATTCATAATAAAACGAACATATGCGAATAATAATGCTGCATTATCAGGAAAAGTTGACTCGTCCAGTTGTATAGAGAAATGGGTCGTTTGCAAATAATTACATAAGAAGCTTTCAATATCAGAACTCATTTCATCAATACGTCTTTCAACAGCATTCTTGCTTAAGGGAATTCTTTTAATGATATCAGATGCAGGTTTGTGTAAAACAGTTTTTAAAACCTCTTCAACGGCTGGCAAAATTAACTTCTCTCCGATAGTATGCGGTTTTCCGGTAACGAGATATTGTAAGACGCCCGCAAACCATCATCATTTCTTTGTGACGTCGAAGCGAACATTCTGTCCAGTGAAATTTATCTTTGAGAGTTTGAAAGTATTTCAAATCTTTCTCTGTTTTATCAGGGTGGCATCTTCTCAGATGATCTTGCAGTTTAGATGGTTTCATAGCGTCATTGCCCAAAAAGGCATAAAAGGCAGATAGGCGATTGTTTGTCCGGCAAAGATGGAATGAAGCCAAATTTCAAATAATCAACACTGTACTGTCTAAATTTCTTTTTAGATTCGGACATGGCATCAGTCATCTGTGGGCAAAATTAAATTATTTAAGTAAGACAGAAAATCCAGCAGCTGTATATTAAAAATACTTTTTGATTTTTCCGAAAACATTCCATAATTCGAACATCTTCTTGCAACAATTAGCTCGAATTACGGAGATTGCACTGTAATTATATTACCGAATGCTAAAACTTTCAAAAAGAAACTATTGAGGAGTACTCGTGTAATTTTGCATGATTGAATATTTAACTACTAATAACAAAAGTCATGATTGGCGTAATTTATCTATCTTTGCTAACTACGAGTACAAAACTAAAATTTAATAAAAAATAATGTACTTACTTTTCTCCAGCACTCTCAAACAAAATAACACTGACTCACTATAATTTGTGTGATATACTATATGTTTATATTTTTTAAAATATTTTCTTAGCACTTTCCTTTTCAAGATTCAGGAAACGAATAAACGTATTTGTCCCACATTCGTATTTATAGAGTGACGAATTGAACAAGTCAGTGCAAGGTAGCGAAGCTCTGAGACTGCGACTCTCAGGTTTTTACAAGTTCAAAATGTATTGCGACCACAAAGCGAATACCAACATCCTACAACTTACACAATTTTATAAACATATATAATACATTTTTTGATATTATAAGATAGTATGATGTAAGTAAATAGGTACTATCAGTGTATGTGTTGAGATCCACTATCGTGGACCCCCATATTCATTTCACGGACCCCCAATTTTTTTTTGCTGACGTAGACCCCTTGCAGGTTGTCATAGACCCCTAGGGGTCGATATAGACCACTTTGGGAATCAATGATCTAGAGCCTGATTATCTGAATGATTATTTAGCATGATAATAGTTTTTTCTCTCTACTATTTTTTGATAACGTTATTTCACCACAAATTGTGGGTGTTTTGCATAGTTATTTGGGAGTTAACATTTGTTGCTGTTGTAAACTTGGCTATACAGAGAAATCCAAATATCATTGACATCGTAATGTGAACGAGAGGGAACCGCGAGAAACGTGCAATATATATATATATATATATATATATATATATATATATATATATATATATATATTAGCAAGCGTGTGCCCATGGTCACGCCGCAGCTGCGTCCGTGGCCTCGTCACTCGGGCTGCTAGACAACGTGGTGCTTCAAACTCTTTCTATCATACGTATTGCACGCTCCTCTCTCGTACACATTTCGACGACAGTGGTATATGGATTTCACTGTACTCGTATGTGTCTACGAATGACGAAATAAATCCCAATCCTAAAATAAATTGTAATATGAATCTAGTGACCTAAATAGTAAATTGTGTGCAGTTAAAGGTACATAATTGGACTGCCAGTCCCGGTGACCTGGTTTGTCAAATGGACAACGGGAAATTGGTTAGCCTTCACCTGCTGGTACACCCTTCCTTAATTTAATAGTGTATAGGGAAAAGGGAGAGGTAGTCGCTATTCTACTTTTAAAGCCACACACACAAAGTATTCAGGAAATGCGCAGAAACAACTTCTAAAGAATTCATAGCGGATGCCTTTTATAAGTCGCTTTCGAAAACTCATTTAGCCAAGTTGAAAAAGGTTTTGGTACACACCTTTCTTCGAAGATCACATGTAAAGATTCAAGCTAGAATGCTCTAGCATGTTGAATTATAGCGTGTCCAAAATTACTAGCAGTAAGAGCAAGAATCCTTTATGTTTCAAAATTTCAGCTGGATGGTTAACTGACACAGAGACGTGCTAGCATTCACCTCTTTTTGAACAGAATAGTTGATATCATTCAGTAAGCACATCCACCACTTCATTGAAATTATACGAATAGCAATTTGGGATCAACTGGTCCGATAAGTATTTCTGCGGTATTGGTCTAATTTGCCAACTGAATCATCAGGAATGACTACTTATATAGGTACACCTATATCGGGTGTTTCAAATTGTTCCCTCACCACTGGGATCTTGAAGATACCAAGCCGCTTGAATGGCGGCAAAGCTGCGTTAGGTAACTAACAAAATGCCGCATAGGATGTTTCAAATTTCGAAGTACTTCCCGAAGGAGACCGAAAAAAAAAATAATTTTACCATAATCGTTTTATTTTTCTCCTAACTTTATTTGTAGTTCAAAAGTGGGATTTCAAAACAAATTGCACCTTAACATTGCCACTTTTTTAGAATTTCAACATGACGTTTCGTCTTTTATTCTTTTTAATGGACGCCATATTATACCTTTGCACAGATAAGGTTTTAAGTTCTGATATAAGAAATGAGAGATGTTACATTAACGACCAACATCAGTTTCAAGAGTATAACTGAATATTACTAAGCGATTATTATCCTTTTGGTTATATTATCCAAGCCTTGCCTTGCCTTTCCCATCACTAGAACCTTCTATGTTTCGTAGATCTTTTTTGTGTGTTTGCAATCGTAAAAATAAAGACGGTTTCTTTATTTCTTACATTAGGTTGAATGTTTGGTTATTTCTCTAAAGGTGTAGTATTTTGGTTGTGATTGCTGAGTTGCGATTTTCACGAAACTGAGTGCTAAGAAACTTGGACAAAAAGCTTTCTTTAAGCTCCGCAACTCGAGTGTAATTTCTAATTATAAACTAGTATGATCATATTGAGGGATTCTGCTTCTGATCCATTAATTTTTCATAGAAAAAAATATGCAAGATCCGCTCATTGATTAGTCGCTAATGAGCACGAAACAGCGTCTGTTGCTAATCATGGTTAGAGAGTCGAAAAGCAAACATGTACATTTGAGCCTTTTCTATTGCATTTATCCATAGTCAGGGAGCCGTGTTGATAGGGTGGGTACTTAGACATTTTGATTTTGCTGCATTTGGTGGCCTCATCATATCAAGCCAGTGCCCTGATCCCGGACCCTGTGAGCCTATAGGGTCAGGCCGTAATAGTTCATAGGAAGCCATTGCTTGTTTGCTCTGTGAGTACTTTGTACTCAGAACAGTTAATAGTCGATTGGTATGCGCTTACAGAACGGTGACGATCGATGCACTGCTTGTGGTAGCTGGTATCTTGCCAATAGATTTGCTGGCTGCAGAGATGTGCATCCTAGAACGGGGCGTCGAAGCTGCAGCGACGAAAGAGGGGTGTTTTTTGTCAGATGGCAGGAGGGATGGGATGTAGCTGGCCATGGTGCATGGAGCAGGAGGCTGATCCCAGATATTAAAAATTGGATTGACAAGGAGCGGTGCGGCTAGATTACTATACTGCACAGTTCCTCATATGTCGTGGCTGTTTTGACAGCTACTTGAAGAGGCAAGGGAAGAGAGTACGCCAATTGCGTATAGCTATGAAGAAGAAGAGGAGTAGGTGAGTTGACTCCCAGGCATAGCTGGAACTAACGCTCGGCCAGAGGCTCACTACCGACAATTTTGCCACGCATATACGTAAGGGAAAGTGGGCTGATATTCAACCAACAGTGAGGTGAATGATGTTGAGTAAGGTATGGCAGAACAAAAATTGACCAGCAAAGTTTGAAAGTATGCATGTGTACCAAAGAGGATAAATAACTAATACCTTCGGTATGAAATCCTAACGCCACGCACCACTTCATAGTGGGCATTTTTTAATCATTTAAATGCTGCAAGCATTATCGTGGTGGGATGTGTGAAAGAAAGACACTCGACTGTGATAGAAGAAGTGCGGTGCGATATCTCTGTGCATAGCGCAGAACGTCGAGCGGTTATGAGCCAGAGGACGTAAGGGTCCTCCTGTCATCTCCATGACATGGGATGAGGATAAAAATCAGTTTTGCAAGTCATTGTTGCGGGACGATCGTCAGATTTTCCACCTACATGCGCACAAATTCCAAATTCATCGCGACACAATACAATATTTTAATAGCACGTATTCAAGGCAGTAAAACATTTATATTGCTGGGAGATGCTCAAGAATTGCAATATTATAATCGCTGTTACCAAGAGTACCTGTAAAGGATTTATAATACTTCTTGCGAATATTACCGCGGGAGCGAATTTTTGCCAGTGTATTGGGAACAAAACTTAAATAAAATGCCGCGTTTCTTTGCATCATGAACGTTTTATTTCTAAATAAGTACATAATAATCCCTCTCCCTACATTCTACATAAAGAATTTAGAATTCTTTACCAGAACAACAGTCTTACTTCGTTTGATAGTATTACAATCTATTTACTTATACGTGAACAATCCAATCACATATCATTTCCAGAGGAACAACAAACTAATATTGTAATGCTCAAAAAACTATTTAAAAGCATAGATGAGCTTTTTTACGTACAATTAGAATATCTTTCAATAAATGGAGCTTACTTTTGAGGTAACATCAAAACATTTTTCTGTGGTATTAGGAAAGTACACATACAGTGCTTTTGAAAAAGTCCTTCTCTCCACTTATTTTTTGAATGGATCGAGTAACCAGGCTGAAACTCGGAATGCGCTAAAAATTTCAGGAACGGTGAGAAAAGTGTATCTTTCTAAAAGGGGGATATGTTGAAAAATAAAAAGAAATTTTTCAGAAAATGATGTTTTCATTTCTAACACGGGTACTTATTGAACCGCTCTCGTAGTTTAGGCTTACAAAGTAATGATAAGTAGCTTGAAAATGAGGTATCGTGCGACCCCCTATTCCATTCACAAGCATGTTCCAAAATAATGCTTATCCGCTATCTTTAAACTCAAGTGTTTTTTTACGTTAAAATATAGAATTCATGCGACAATTTCATTGCGCCGAAAATCAATTGCGAAGAGGGAGCTTTTCGAAAAACGCTGTATATGTTCAGGACCGATTGCATAACCATTCGCTTATTGTGATTCCATATTTGTGTTATCTTGACATATAAGTGATAGAAGAGTTATCATATCATATAATCTAGCCTGCCTCGCACAGTCGTTAATTTCAAAGTATTTGTGTTTTAAACATTTATAACTTAATGATGCTAATATTAGAATCAAAGTGAACAGTCTTATAGTAGCTTTAAGTAGACTTCCTGTTTTATACATTTTAGAGAATAACAAATGTTTATTTATCGTAAGACTTATAAATAAGCTCATCTTCGCTTTCTTGAAAGACACCACCTAGTTTTATATGCTTTAGCATGATAACAAAAAGACCCTAATCATAAAAACACAGATGCGCATGCGTACCCTCATATCACGGAATAAACTGAGCAAACCTTATGTTGATAATAAAACCCAGAGTAATTATTTTTGAAATTCGAATATTACATTGGTTGCAATAACCTTTAACGACATCTTAGATTTCTGAACCGAAAACCATACTTTGTGCAAAATGTTCATGACACCTTGTTAATTCAATATTTGAACTGCTCAAGGTCAGCAAAACAGCAACATTTTTCCACAATCTCTCTAGTAATACCTTGTAAGAAAGTTTTAACCTACCCCTATCCTCCTCCTCGTATTTCACCCCTTTCCTAAGAAGTACGTATTTTGAATGTATATAGAAGCAACATATTGTTGGTTTTCATTGTTTATATGTAAGCCAAAGGTAATATTATTCTATATAAAATAAAGGTATCAAATTGAACTGATATCATGGAGGAGGGTTCTTATTTGTATAGGGTAAGGAGGTTATGTTGACGTTCTTGATGGACCTCGCAATTTTTTGAAGTATCCTTCCTTTATCAAGTAGCTCAGTTTTGTGGATATGCTCTGTACAAACCAAAAGTTCAATCACCCTTCTTCTTTCCTTCCGCAATATTGTAGCCGGAAAATATCCTAAACATTTTCTGACAAGTTTGATCGATTTATAAGTTTGCAACAATTGACATGCAGAAACATGCTTCTGTTTGTTATGAGTCACATATGCAGAAAGTATGGATTTCGATCATGACAGTAGAATAAAAATTGTTCAAACAACAAATTTTACAGCAACACTTTAGTGGAAAAAACTATTTTCAGTCGATGGAAGAGTATTTATTGTACTTATGCATAAGAATATCCTAGTACTGCTTGGTTTACGTTTTGTAAGCTTAGATCTCTTTTAAACCTAAACAGGTACTGAATAGGATGGAAATGAATAATTCGTTAAATGTATGATTTATAAACCTTCATTTCTTTCGTTTCCGAAACTTTGGTATGTCATCTTTCTTTACCATGATCTGGTTGTTAAAAGGATCACATAATTCAAATAAAAGGAATCTTCTTACCTGCAGGAAAATCAGTGGCAAGATGTTTACAACCAATGTTTATCAGAAATGTACCACAGCTATTGTTCTACCATTACACACTCAAAATTTTGTAGACTACATTTGAATTAATGATCTTGTATCAGTGGTTCTGGATACACCGTTTGATATAGTATCGTTGATGTATGAGATCTGATTAAAAAAAAACTCATAGCAACCTTTTTACTAACAATGGAGTAAATCATTTGAGATATACAAAACATTTTATAACATTAGTAGTAAAGGTTTCCATATAGAGAGGCATATTGAAAAACACGATACTATAAATATTACATCAAAAATATAGAAATTCTAGATGTTTGTGTGCACTGTAGTAAGAATTTTTTAGGTGCATTAATTGTTAAGACCGAAAAATTTGATTTATAAATATTCTGTGAATGCGGATGTGTACAATAGATATCGTAATGGTAAATTCTAATCCTACTTCGCGATTACTGAATAAGTTGTCACCGTTGTCATCTCCGTCAACATTGTAAGTACACAGTACAGCTTTGAAATCTCACTGGACAACTGTAAATAAAAATAATACTAATTCTTCTGAGATACCACTCGTAAGTACCTTAAACTTGTACTTAGATATTCAAGAACTTATTCAGAAGCCCCAAAGCAGGTTGGATTTACAACAGATGATCAATGCTATACGATACACTCGAAGTAAACCAACTGAATCAAACATTATCACAACGAATTTGGCAATACTTTTTCTTGGATTCTTAAGTAGTTTTCCGCTTTATTGGTAGTTATGCTTCTTATAAAAGTTATAGAGGCACACAATTATTATTACAGGGATGACTTCTATACACGTATTACACATGATAATAACTTCAAAACCAGATAACATTTCAACAACAAACACAGAATAGTGTATAAAATAAATATTCAACATCTTCTTTTCAAATTGATAGCAGTTCTCGTATAAATAAATTTAAGGGCATAGCAGCAGGTCATTTAAACAACGTCGTTGGGAATATTTTTCATCAAAAGCCTTTTGAGTTAACTTCTGTTTATTTTGCGACATATTGCGGTCTCTTTACCATACCGAGATATTTATATCATGTTCACTTTATTTTACAAATCTAAATAATAATTACCTGAATACATTTTGAACTTGGGTTAAGCGCAATAGCTTAAAGAGAGCTAATTGTTCCAAATAATTGATTTGAATGCAGATAATTAAAAGCAAGTGACTCATTTTCTTCAGAATATAGTGAACAATTAATCCAGTTTGACTGGAGGTATTCTGTCAGCGCCAGTTAACTTACCAGAAGTTCATTATATATTTATGTTGCAACTCTTCATATGCGGTTCTTGGATATCGTGTTATGGGCGTTTGGAGTGCTCGACGTCTGTGTCTTCTTCATACCGTCCTACGTGTAAGGTTTTTCAAACATTGCTTGTACAAGTGTTTAGTAGTGGACGCGATAGGCGGGATTAAGGAAATTGTGTGTAGGTCAAAAATACGCGTAAAATACAATTAAGATTGTAAATATCTGTTGAATATCGTGTTTGCCATCTGTTAGGCATTACTTGTATAACGTACGACACACAAATATAGGTCTTCAGCAGATCATTCGAAATTATGCTACTATGTCCTTAACTGGCGGATTCCCGGTTTTATGGTTTTTGTTTTTCTTATGATCAGATAGGAAAGCTTCCTTATCCATTTAGATGTGCATTCCATCTGCCTTCCAGAAATTATATTGTAAATTTAAAGTAACAAAAAATCATCAATATATATAATTTTTTGTATCACGGTCTTCTTATAGCACTCATTCTGTGTTTGTTGCAGTGTGCTGAGAAATAAGAAGATGACAGATGAACATTCACGAATATTACCAAGTAATTATTGTATCTTTCGTTATGTAGTAATTGGCTAATTTAATTCCACCTTCAAGGCTTTTATATGCTAGGCATACCCTAATATCAACAAGCTTTTAACGATTTTCCACCCTCATAGGGCAAACGTACGAGAAGCATCAACATTTTGGCAAATAAGATATAAACGATATAAGTCCGAAAAGCTTATTACGATACGATGTGAATTTTCGAAATACTTTTGGATTTATTGCTTTCTTATTTACAGTGAGCAAATCACTGGGTCACGTGGGTCATTTGAAAGGAATGTTCTGATTTAATCCGATACATCAACTACGAAGCATTAAAACATTTTTTATAATAGATGCCAGTCATATCTTGATGCTTCTGTATATATATATGGTATACAGCAATTTCTGACTAGAATACTTTTACTTTTGTTCAAAAAAGCATTGTGTAATCGAATTTTCTAATAACATGTTTCATGTTTGGTAAAATTCTTCTTTTTCATATCACTACGTTTGACGGGACATCTTAATATATACAATATATACAAAATATGTATGAACATACACAGAATTGTTTACAACATCTAGCCTAACTCTAGTTAACAATAACTACACTGGACACAGGAGATGTCCTCATTATGATCCAGACTCCAACGGTCCATGTTTATTTATATCTTGTATCCGCCAACAAACAAAGCCTTAAGGAACCGTCCAAATTCAAAGATGTTGAATAAAATATTTATATTATCAAACTCTCTACCTCTACACATCCAACAATCCATAACGTCCGTAAATAATATGAAAAGTTCCTATAAACATAAATGATAAAATACGTTAAATGTGCCACTATGATGGTGAACAGCATTTTCTAGATCACTAACGGCGCACACCTCTATCATGCTACATACGATTTTCGCTGTAAAACCTCACCAGCGTTAGGGTGCTTGTTAAAAAGAACGGTTCTACATCTTCTTAAACGGATCTGATAAAAATTTATCAAAGGAGAGAATTAATACAAAATAAAATTGAATTTCTTAGTTTAAAGGATGCCAACTGGTGTTCCTAAAAAGTCAGTGGCGTAGTGAATATTTTTGGAGGTGTCAAAATACCCTGCATTCTGGTAAGGAAGGTTCATGCCTATAGGAATACTGTTCAACGTATTTTCCGTTTCAAAATTATTACTGACACCATTTTTAAAACATCCTTTATAAAGATCTTCTGCAAATTTGGCTAGTTATATGTATAGTCCTATTTTTTATACCGAGAAGTGAAAATGATAATATTCTAGGATATAATACAACATAAAACGTTCTCTAATATTCTTAACAAAATTAGAATCCTACTAGTTACGCTTCAGATGTTTATCCATAATATCAAAGTTCGGGAATATTAGGCCATCCAAATCCATTTAGGCAGTCGTTGTCACGTTTTAGCTCAAAAAATGCGTCTATTGATAATATCGTGTATCACAGAAAATGCTTAGAGACTGTAACTGAAGCTTTAGCAATTTTTTTGTGCAAGGTTAAAAAAAAAGTCGTGGCAAATATTTAAGGACGTTGCCGACAGATTTCAGCTTGCCGATTTTGAGATAAATCACTTTTAAGCATTTCTCTGAAAGTTGTAGCTTTAAGCAACATTTCATATTTTTCTTTCTAGTTGAGTATCTATATCTGATAATTTCAAGTAATTTGGGAAGCAGCCGTATCCGTCAATAATAATAATGACTCCAAATCATGTTTGGACAATATTTTCATTAAAACAGATGTGAACTTTCAGTCTAAAATTATTGATGCACTTTTTTCTGACCACAAACGGCAACAATGCCCTCTTTTCACTCAATATCAATATCGGTCATAAGTCCAAAATTGATTAGAGTGTTTTTCTGACTCACATATAAATAGTTTTCTGCAAGATCTAAACTCGGCATCATGGAACGAAATATATAATAGTGTCGACGTAAACAAAAAGTGGGATATATTTTCTCAGATAATACAAAGCAGATTAAATTTCCATTTTCCTCTGAAGATTAAAAAGCGAGCTGCGAAAAGCAAGAAACCTCCTTGGATTATCCTGGTATTGGATTGACTCAGGAACAGGGTGAGTGCTCTTCAAATAATTTTAGAAAATGACATAAAATATTAAGGTTTTTTAAAAGTTGTAATCAGACATATGAGAAACTCTTGAAAGATTCAAAATCGCAATACTATTTAGACAAAACAAATAATCATGGCAATAGTGTTAAAGGAATTTGGAATGCAATGCGAGAATTAACTAACACACCCAAAACACCATTTGATCAGTTTGTCTTACCTGTACATAATGATGTAAATGCTTTAGCCAACCATTTCAATGAATGGTTTATCGAAGCTGCTCCAAAACTCCTCTCATAACAACCAATTTGAGTTATGAATGCGACTTAAAACTAAAAAATAAAACAAACAAACAATTTTTATTATTAAAAAAATGATAACCATGATATCTGATCCTCTTCTTAACATCCTAAACACATCTCTTAGTGAAGGGCAATTCCCAGAAGCATTAAAAATGGCACGTGTATTACCAATCTATAAAAAAGGCAATCCTGATGGTACCGCGCTACTAGCTTGATAAATTTCTCAAAAATTTTTGAAATTGATTATAACAATCGTCTTACAAATTTTTTCCAATCAAATAAATACGAGTACTTTACCAATAACCAACCTGGCTTCATGAAAGGTATAAGTGTGATCAGAGCAATGCTTGATTTCACAACAGCAATCCGAGAAATTTTAGGTGCATTGCAAATGCAAATGCAATTATTTCTGCAATATACATATCAAAGAGATCTACACGCATTTAGCTTTACATTGACGTATTTCTTCTGTTTTAGCTACTTGATTGAACCTTACATTGTTATAAGTAGCGATCTATTATGGGTTTTGAGTTATATCAGATATTGGTAAGATCTACCTATACATTAATCCCATCAATTCTGAATTTATTTCCTACATTGCATACACATTTACTCATGCACAACTTGCGTCCATATACTTAAGTCAGCTTTTAAAACGTTTGTTGTAAAGATAAATGTACTAAACATTCCATCTACAGGGTGACTTCGAAGTTGAGTCATTTATTTTAACAGTGAGTAGATCTGATCAAAAGAAATGTTTTTTTCCTTTACCATTTTCCTGGTAAAATTAAAGTAACAAAGTTATAGCCCTTTGGAAGTTTGAGTACCGCCCTGTCTCAATAATAATATTATGTGGTCGTGTTTGGCGACAACGGATATAATCCGCCGTATCGGTTCATCGCATCGGAAACAAAAAAGCGAAAGAATTTGGAACGATGCTTTTTACAATTATTTCATTCATTTGTATACAGTCAGTGTCAGTGAATAGTGGTATCTGTTGCGTGGCTCAAACGAAATAAAAAATGGCACATGTTTATGCGGATCGGTTTCCCAATCGAGTGCAACCAACCCCTCGAGCCTTTGTTAATGTAGTACAATGGGCTCGTGAATCAGGTGACTTAAGACCTCACAGGGGACCTCACGATCAAATACAGGTCCGCACTGAAATACTTGTCGGGAGGATACTTTATAAAACAAGGTAAAACTTTTTTTTTAATTTTTTTTTATTTTTACACACATATTTTGGTTTATCTTCCTTCTACAATTATTATCTGAAAATTAATGACTCAACTTCAAAGTCACCCTGTATATGTGCTTTCGACCACCGACGTGATCGAAGTGTCAGTAAAAAGTTAATCCTAAATATGCGGTTTCATTTAACGGCCAGAAAACATGATGAGTATATTGTTAAATTAGTCGGTAAGTGATCCTTAAATATTCGCCACGACTTCCCTGTAACCCTGTATAATTTGAGGTGTCAACTGGGAAAACCCATTTTGACTGAAATTTATCTGGAAGATCTGTTACTGAGGATACTCGTAACTGTTATAATCACCGCGTTCATAGTACCAACTTGGACAATGTTTTCAATGCAAAGGACTAAACTATCCAACCTTAGAAAGTGAGAACGAAATATTCTTCTAAGCTTTATCTCAGCGTTTATCTATGAGACTTCGTTCACCGAAGTCGCCTACCATGCCTGCTCTCTAACTACTTCATAGTCGAGACAGACCATCGATCACTGTAGGACTTTTGGGCGGAGCAAAAGTTACCTGAACGGTGAAGAATTTATGGTGAAGACATCTCCTGTGTGTCAGTTTCGACTGTCAACATGCAACATATGGATGGGCCTGCCGAAATGGCCGTTGAGGACCCTTGGCCCCCTTTCAGGGTCCGAATCATCAGAGTCTGAATCATCAGATAGGTGTGGAGGGGGGTAGGGGCCACAGGGGCCTAGGTCGTCCTCTTCGTCCAGCTGTGGAATAATGTACATGTTAAGGATTATTCTAATTAAGGAAAAACGTATTGTAACTTATTTAAGTTATGACATAAAGTATTTTTGAAGTAATCGTAGCATCTACAAGGTGGGCCATTTAAAGTGGAAGCATCAAGCAACCCTATATCTTTGAGATCAGTTGTCAGATCGACTAATGTCATACCGCGTTGGAAGCGTCATTTCAGTACAATTTCAACCACAACACCAAAACAACGCGCTGAAATTATTCAGGTGTACATTCAAAATAACTTCTCAGTCGTTAAAACTAGACGTGCGTTTCATAAAAAAAATAAAGTCAAAAGTGCTCCAGGTGATAACACTATCAGATGAGCCAGTGTTGAAGGGACTCCGGTCAACATCCAGTGGTCATCGTTCTCAAGAGTTAGGCATCGCTCGAACCACTCTCTGACGCATAATTCGTAAGGATTTGAAGATGTTTCCATACAAAGTTCAAATGGCTCATCAATTAACCCCAGCTGATTGTCCTTTGATTTTGCTAAATGGAGCATTGAAATGGCCGAAAATGAAGATGACTTTTGGCGATAAATCATCATATGCGACGACGCACATATTTCGTTACATGGAGGCGTAAGTAAACAAAATTGTCGATTTCATGCTACCGATAACCCCCAATTAATCGAACAGCAGCATCTTTATGACCAAAAAGTTACTGTTTGGCGCGGTTTGTGCGCGAATATGCTCATCGTGTCGTATTTTTTTGAAGACGATGATGGAGCTGCGGTAATCGTCAATGGTGAGCGTTATCGAGCCATGATAACGAATTTTTTGAGGCTAATTGTTTGTGAAAATGACATGGACGATTACTGGTTCCAGCAGGATGGCGCCACATGCCACACAGCTCAAGCAGCAATCAATTTATTGCGACGATTGTACCCGGGACGACTGATATCGAAAAATGGCGATTTTGACTGGACACCGAGATCACCTGATTTGACGCCACCAGACTTTTATTTGTGGGGCTATTTGAAATCCAAGGTATACGCTAATAAGCCAAGGACTCTAGTTGCCCTCTAGAACAACATTCGACAAGAAGTGGCCGCCATATCCGACGAAATATTGGCCAACGTGATGGAAAACGCCGAAAAAGGGCACATTTGATTATCAAGGCCAGAGGTGGCCATTTGCGCGATATCATTTTTGAAAAGTAATTACAACAAATCTTTTTGGATCAAAATAAAAGACTTTTCAAATGAACAACAAAAAAATTTTTTTTAATGTATTTTTTATAAACAAATGCTTCCACTTTAAATGGCCCACCCTGTATTTAATGAAGACTACACTGCTTTTGAGAAACGTCCACTTGATTATTTTTTGAACTAGTCAAGTTGACAAGATGAAATTCTGAAAGATTAAATTCGCACACAAACACTATATTTTAACGCAAAAATAACAGTTAAAAATTTAAAGACAGCGGCTGGACCAGGCTATACAAAGTTAAGCGTTTTCGTACATTGAATCGCTTATAACTTAACAGTCAATAATCATAACGTTATCAACCTGCTTCCTTTGGAAGGATCTATCTGGATGTGCAATGAAATGTTTCATTTCACAATTCAACTTTCCATATTTTCTTGCACATTCGGATAGATTATGGTATAAAACACTCAATGTTGAAAAGGCACAGCTCTGACAGCCATTTTGGGAAATAGTGGCCTGTATTTATAATAATAACGAGATTTAAAATGAGACATCACACATTATATCTATGAAAAATGTTCCAGAATGGCACCCAGCCGCCATCTAGGAATTGTCAACTGCCACTTGTACGCTAAAACAGTATTCACGCCGCAGGACTATTACGTAAAAAACTTAAAAAACGTAAAAAAACGACAAAATCCCAAGTTGCTTCCTAGTGTGGAAATAGTACATTCCGAGTTTGCTTGATATGAGCGCTGTTTCCATCTATGGAGGAATGACTCAACGATACGGCAAGCTCAATGACCATGTTGCAAGCAGCCAGTCAGCTCCCATCATGCTTTGTTGGTTGCGAAATACCGAGATAGCCTGTATGTAATATACTCCGAGAAGGTGTGTGGTTGAGTACCAGGATAGCTTGACATGAATGATTGTGTGTATTGGACTGCATGTGTATAAATTCAGTGATATTTGCTATGTTAGTCAAAATGACAATGAACGGGACAATGAACAAAGTCACATTGGAAGGGAAAACATCTAGAGCTTTTGGCGTAACGAGAGGCCTGAGACAAGGGGACCCGCTATCTACAACATTGTTTAACTTTACACTGGAAGCTATTTTACGTAATTGTGGTATACAAACCGACGGAGTCGTTTACTATAGAAAACATCAGTTGATTGCTTATGCCGATGATATAGCAATAATAACCAGATCCAAAGCAGAACTTGAGAAGACGTTTAGAAGGTTAGAAGAAACTGCCAAACGTTTTGGGCTTCATATAAATGAAGACAAAACAAAATACCTTGAAATGAGAGGAAGCAATGAAGGAAAGTTAACAATAAGAAGTAGTTGCAGAGAATACTGTTTCGAGAAGGTGAATCAATTTGAATATCTAGGGGTCACAATAACAGATAAAGCAGAAGAAGATTTAGAAATTGAAAAAAGAATAGCAAAAGGGAGTAAAGCAATGGGGGCTTTAAGCAAGATGATAAACTCGAGGTGGATATCAAGGAAAACAAAGGAAAGGATATATAAATCAGTTATCCAACCATCAGTACTTTACGGCGATGAAGCTTGGGTGTTAAGCCAGAAAAACGTACAGAAATTGGAACGCTGGGAAAGAAAAATGTTACGTAAAATATATGGGGGCACAAAAAACAACGATGGTACATGGAGAAAGCGAACTAATAAAGAACTGATGGAGATGTATAACCAACCCAGTATAATACAAAAAGCCCGAGCTCAAAGAGTGCGCTGGTTAGGACACGATTACAGAATGCCGTCTCATAGGAATGCCAAAAAAGTTTTGTTTGGAGGAGAAGGTAGTAGAAGAAGAAGAGGAAGACCGAAGAAGCAGTGGCTGGAAAGTTTCAAAGAGGATATACAAAGACTGGGAGGAAAAGACCAAAAATAGAAAAGCGTGGAAAGAAGTTGTCAAAAAGATAGAAGCCATGGGCCTTCAGGCCTGAAGCGCTGAATTATATATATATATATATAACTTGAGACGTGGTCATTGTCGTCTAGACCAGTTAGGTGAAAAATTAAAGCTTCCGCTTTTTGTTGGGTACTTCGACAAGATTTAAGCAAAGAGGACTCTTTATACTTTTTTTAATTCTCTCTAGCTTTCAATGGACTTTGCCATCATCATCAGGAGAGTAGTATGTGAGAATGTTGCTAATTGTTGTTTTCGTATAGGATGAGGGAAACGTCCAGTAACATGGTGAGAGCTGAATAGGTTGCACAATAGTCAAAATTTATACAAAACATGACAAGAACACGTTAAAAACAGATTAAAAATTATTTTAAAAAATTTAAAACATTACATCGTGAAACCACCTGATGATTGCACTGTGCAATCATCAGGTGGTTTCACGATGTTTGTAATGTTTTAAATTTTTTAAAATAATTTTTAATCTGTTTTTAACGTGTTCTTGTCATGTTTTGTATAAATTTTGACTATTGTGCAACCTATTCAGCTCTCACCATGTTACTGGACGTTTCCCTCATCCTATACGAAAACAACAATTAGCAACATTCTCACATACTACTCTCCTGATGATGATGGCAAAGTCCATTGAAAGCTAGAGAGAATTAAAAAAAGTATAAAGAGTCCTCTTTGCTTAAATCTTGTCGAAGTACCCAACAAAAAGCGGAAGCTTTAATTTTTCACCATATATATATATATATATTTGCTATGTGAGGAAATTATTAATACTGCCAATGAAATATATCTATTAGCTGCGCCTCGTTCTCTGTAATTAAGCTACATTGAAGAACAATTAGGAAAGACGCATCACATACAAAATATTTTGGCACTGCCTCACATCTAGACGCTGATTTATATTTTCTACTTGCATCGCAGAATAAATTTCCATAAAAATTAAATGACTTTAAATAAAAATTAATGTGAACTGTTTTAGGTTTTATAAATATTCCTGTATGTACCATATTTTCTTACCTGTTAGTTTTAATATACTTCAACAACAAGGAATTCTTTTTTTACTTATCGCTCCCTTTTTTAAATTCAAATCTGCATATCTAATTTCCAGGTTGATTAAGAAAAAGCGGATGCGCAACTGATTTTTAATGCATTTTAGAAAAGAAACTAACTGAATAAACATCAACACAGATTATTAGCACACAAATCCTCCAATAATGTCATCTTTAAAGCGTTACATCACATCAGAGCCAAACATTGGTAGCTGGAGTATCATGAAGTTTAGGCAACACGTACAGCTACGGAACAAGTACACAACAAGTGTACAACAGCTACTGCTAAGTTGACATCTTGTAGAAAAACCTACATAATGTCACAAAAAACCTATATAATGTCAAAAAACCGACATAATGTCACTTTTCAAGATACGCAATATCCCTGTCGATTTTCAGCTTGCTAACTTGACCCATATAAAAAGATAAGTAGGGAGATCCTTTTGAAAAGCACTGTATATAAGTACAGGGTGCGTCATCAATTTTTTTATTTGAAAAATCAACACGCTTTTTATGAGGTGAAATCGAATTTTTTTATTGATAAATGAAGGTTGGTTTATGCCATTTATGTAACATCAGTCACCGCGGCTTCCTTTACAGGTAAACATCCGAACATCAACATTTTCAATGAGTTTTCCCAGAATAATCAGGTATCTATATGGCCGCAATTTCAGTCCGAATATTGCGCTTTAGGTCTTGAATTATCCGGGGACCATTCTCATACACTTTTCCTTTCAAAAATCTCCAAAGAAAATAGTCAAGAGGTATTAAATCGCACGATCTCGGGAGCCAACTGACATCTGAATTTCGTGAAATTATGCGGTCTTGAAATTTCGTGTGCAATAAGACGATTGTTTGGCGAGAGGTGTGAGTCGCTGCTCCGTCTTGATGAAACCAGAGATCGTTGATACCAATACGATCCAATTGTCGCCACAAAAAGTCTGTTAACATGCCGCGATAACGTTCCCCGTTGACGGTAATGGACTTTTCTTCGCTATCTTCGAAGAAGAATGGTCCAACGATGCCACCAGCTCATAATCCGTACCAAACAGTCACTTTTTTAGGATGGAGAGGTTGTTCATATTGGTGTGGATTTTCAGTCCCCCAGAATCTGCAATTTTGTTTATTTACGTACCCATTGAGGTGAAAATGAGCTTTATCAGAAAAGAGCACTTTGGCCGAAAATCCGCCTTCTCTTTCCAGCATCCAATTAACAAAAACACGCCGCTGTTGATGGTCTGCAGGTTTAAATCAATGTGTAAAATCCGGCGTAAAGTGGTCTCACTAATTTCCAATTGTTGCGAACAGTGCCTAGTCGAGGTGGTTGGATCTTCTCGCACACTTTCACTCACTACGGCTATGTTTTCACGAGTACGCGCTGGACAAGCATGTAGGTATAGTCTACGACCTTCAGCTGAACCAGTTTCCTCAAAACGATTAACAATCCAACGAATTCCAGGCTCTGTAGGGCGTCCATGTCGGCCAAAACTAGTGCGAAGTCTGCGAAAAGTTTTTTTTATATCTCGACCGTTTTCGTAATAAGTTTGGATAACCAAAATGCCTTGTTGTGTTGTAAACGAATCCATGACTATAAATGGCATATCTTTGACAGTTCATTTATGCATACCACATGACTTTTGACTAACATGGTAACACATAAACTTATAGGTAAAAAAAAGTAATACGAGATGTGTTTTAAGTTTTGAATATAGAAACATAGTAGGCCGCGCCTCACTCTTTAGTAAACCTAAATTCAAAGTTTCACAACAATACGTGCAGCGTTCTCACTGCAGTGAGTTTTTGAGTGTCACAAGTCATTAGAAAAATGGAACTCAACCGAGAACATTTTCGTGCCATAATTTATTACAACTTGCAGAGACAATTATCACAACAAGAATGCCTGGCTGAGTTACTGTCTGTTTTCAGCAACGAAGCGCCACATCAGTCGACAATTTCCCGTTGGTATGGAGAATTTAAACGTGGACGGGTGAGTCTTAGCGACGATTCTAGGGTGGGTGCACCAAAAACGGCAGTCACCAAGGAAAACGTCGATGCTGTGCGCAAACTCATCATTGAAGATAAACATGTGACATATCGCGAGATCTCAAAGACCTCAATTCAAAAAATTTTACATGAAGAATTAGGAGTAAGAAAATTAGTTTCTCGTTTAACACCCCACCTGTTGACTGAAGAGCAGAAAGCCGCAGAGCAGAAAGGGTTAATTGGTGTCAAAAAACGCTTGACCGTTTCAATTCCGGAAACTCAATAAATGTGTACAGAATTGTTAGTGGTGATGAATCGTGGATTTACTGTTATGAACCAGAAAATAAACGACAGTCGGTTGTTTGGTGTTCCAAGGTGAAGAAAAGCCAACAAAAGTCATCCGTTCTCGAAGTGACTCGAAAAAGATGGACGCGACATTTTTGTCGAAAGCGGGTCATATTGCAACAATTCCTCTTAATGAGTAAAGAACTGTTACTGCAGATTGGTAAACCACCATTTGTTTGCCAAAAGTAATCACCGAACTTCGAAAAATCAACCCCGAAATAAGAATCATCCTCCACTAAGACAATGCAAGTTCGCACACAGCCCAAAAAACAAGGCAGTATTTAACGGAAGAAAACGTGGAATTATTGGACCATCCTCTATATAGTCCCGATCTAAGTCCTAACGATTTCTTTACTTTCCCGAAAATTAAAAACAGACTGCGTGGTCAAAGGTTCCAGTCAACAGAAGAAGCAGTTGACGCATTCAAAAATGCCGTTTTGGATCTGCCAGCAAACGAGTGGAATAAGTGCTTCGACAATTGGTTCGAGCGCAAGCAGATATAACGTGTTGTTTTATTTCCATATGCAAAACTTAAAACACATCGCTCGTAGATGGCGCACCCAGTAGATACTCGTAGAACCACCAGTAACACTATAATCTATTTAATTCTCATTTATTTCTCCACAAAATGAAGGCGCACACTCGGTCGCCGCTTAGTTCGCTTGTCGCTGATCTCCTAGGCATTTATGGACCGCTGGCCAATAGGAGCGCGCGAATTTGAACTTTGCGCACTTGTGCTTGCCTTGACGGGGCGTAAATGAATACACATTAGTATGTATAACTGTTAGGTAAAACTCGGGAGAGGTCAGCCCAGAATATTTCTTCTACTGTATAGCTTGGTGCACTAATGAACTAGTAAGTAACTCCAGGTTACCAAAGGAAATTAATATTAATATTTATTCAACGGCCCTCGATGATTAGTAACATTTATTTTTGTAAGACGGATGTAGTATTACTTTATTGAAGTAATACGGCTATACAATAAATTGGGTGCAATTCTTTTGAAACTCATTCATCTACATTTAGTAGTTGTCACATGTACAAGACTACATTCATAAATCGCAGGATCATTGAAATTTAATTGCTTACGGCATGTACCAGTCACATTATACTGATTAATAGAAGGCATCAGGACAACCAGCTCATAAATTTTTGTTATAATAATTTGAGAAAACTTTTTGTGCTGTAAGAGCCGAAACACGTCATTTTCGTAGTAATTCTTGCTTAATTGAGTTAGGATACCTCAATGGGAATTTATTGAATGCAGCAAAAATGCATGGTCAGTTAATACTTCTGGAATCCTTTTGGGCTGCTTCTCGTATTCTGAATTAACCACAGTAGGAACTCGGCTCCATAGCCAACAGATGAACTGACCCAAGCCACAAATAACCGCTTCTCTTTGTGTTTTTGAGCGATGCCTTCTACGAATTTCATATCAGTTTTGTCCCTCCATCACTTGATTATATTATTGCTTCTACTTTTTCACTGGAATTTATGATTTAATGTTTCCTATATTAGCATTAGCATTCTCATAAATAATCTTTTGTATGATTTGTAGCTAAGCTACTTATACTACAAAGGCGAATAAAATTGACATAGTAGTTGAAATCATGCGACCTTCTAAAGATGCTTAATCTAGGCTACAAAAAGCAACAAATCAAGGAAGTTGGCAAAACATACTAACATTATATACATACAGCATGCTTGGACCCTCGATTCAAACTTTTAAAGGGCTAATAGTAAACCTATTTCGGACACATTAAGACCCATGTACCTTAGTACAAAGAGAAGAAGCATTTTAAGTTCTCCGCAACGTTAAGTAACTCTAGAAAAAAAACATGGCACGTGCCATCGCTTGTTTTGTTTTCTCGTTTGTATCCTTTTTCTTGAAGTACGTTTGATACAAATAGTTTTGACGTTATCGAAAGATGGCGTATACGTTGTAAAAAATAATTTGGTTTGCTATATAGTTTGCGGGTTTTTGAACTATTCTATGGACAATTTTGGTAACAATTTAAAATGATTGAAAAAAATTCCTTTCTTAATAAACGAAAATGCTAGAACAAGCAGAATACTAGGATTGACATTACACAAAATCATTCTTTTTAAAGCAAAGCACTTGATAGTGATAAAATTATTTATTTACCCAATAACAAAATGTAAATTGCAAGTAAATTGCCCTCCGAGTTGAAAACTATCAATGATTTAGAATTTTTCAAAAAATAGCTCTTAAAATGTATATACCCTAAATGAGTATTATAATTCTCTATAATTACTGCATATTCTATTGTCATTTACTTATTATATATTTATGCCGATACTGCTTCTATTTATGTTATCTATATGCAAGTGTTTTTGTTACTTATTTCATAACTTACTTACTGTTATTTAATCATGTCTGTCTTTTATAGGAATCTGACCTTTGACGGTTATTTATCATGTTAGCTATACTATGAAATTGTAATTTAATTAACTGTTCATATAATGTTGTCGTCCCATATCTGGATAGCAATTTGAATAAGAATTATTATTATTTCTTATGCATTGTTCCGTCCTTGTTCCGTATTCCTGTTGCAGAAGCCAGTTTACTAAAAGTGTCTCGGTTACAGGGTACCGTGTACCTTTTCCGAAGATTTACTGTGTAGGTATGGCAACTGCACAAATTAAAAACATTTAATATCCAAAAATCCCACAACATTTCTAAGTAGGGTATACTTTTTGTTTTGTTTTTGGTGATTTTAATATTATGGATCATTGAGAAAGAAATCATGGTAGCATCGTTTCGCATGACATACCATAAAAAAGAGCAGAAGTTAGGGGAGTTTTTTCAATGATTTTAATTCAAAACATTGACAAACGTTTCCATAAAAGGTTATACATCAAGATAAATTATAACAGAAGAAAGGAGTTGTTCTCCATAAACGAATAAGCGATGGTTTATGACATGATTTTCGATTTTTTATAAGATTTCTAAAAATTGCGCAAAATATTGTACTAAGGTACATGGTGCTCATTTTTTTTCATTTTGGAGTGTGGGTTCGATATCGACTTTTCGAACATGCTTTATATAGAAAATGACATGCACTCCTAACAGAAACTAGATAATTAACTAGGTACTGATGAAAAGTACCATGTCAAGATGTTTGTTCAGGGGTAACAATACGGTCAGTTAAATCAAAACGGAGCAGGCACTAATGTTAAGGACTTTCTAACGAGCTTCTACTTGTTAAGTCTGAAGTAAATAGGTAATAATTTTTGGTTGCATCATCAATCGGCTACTTACATTTTACACTTCGAAATCTCCTATAGTGAATTTGTTTTTGAGCGTGTTTGTAGCTGTTAGACAAGGACCGTCCGGACTTGTTAATTGTTCCTATTACATGTAAGTACAACATTAGCCACTACCTATACTTACTGCACGGAATACAGACAGACTCGACGCTTATGCAATTTGTGAATTTTTGTTTCCGCTCCTTGGTCTTCCTAAGCTGATAGCGTTTTATTACATACAGATATTTGAAAATGGAATAGGGGCCGTGCAAGTATTACGTGAGCACTATGGGGGGGGGGGGGGCGGGGGGTCTTTGCTTTGCTTATTTTGGATTACATGGCGGGGTAGGGTAGTCTAGATGATGATTACATCATCGGTAGTTATTTACTTTTTTACACGAATGGCAACCCTCACATTGACTTTGGTTGAAAACGAAACGCATTTTCGGGGATTCCCGCAAATAATCCATACGTTTAGTGAACAGCGCGCGGTAATTCCCCTACTCGCTTTAGAACCGAGTAGGGGAATTACCGCGCGGTGTTCACTTGTCTAAATTTCCTCTATCAGTTTATTGTTTCGTTTGGATACTATAGCGAGTAGACGTATTGTAAGCATGGTAAAGCAAGTTAACATATGTGTTACCATTGATTCCATTAGCCAAAGTTTAATGTTTAAATAAGATGTCGTTTCACATAGACAAATCCAAGTAATACCAAAAATTGTTTGAAAGTTTTAAAAAATCTCATACAAGTACGAAAGTACAAAATGTACAAAAGTTAGTTAACAAAGTGTGGCGAAATTACAAATTACAAGCAAAATCCGCCAAGGAACTAGATATTGTTGTATCTAAGAGAATCGAAGAAGAATTGAAAGCAGCGACTAAGAATAAATTGAATCTGCTAAATTTTTTTTCTAAGGTGAGTGAGGAAGTCATTTTAGGTACCTATGAGTACTAGAAATATTAGAAATCGCCAAAAAGTTTGTCTTTACTGATTAGAAAATATTATGGCCTATCTCAAAGTATAGAGGAAATATTCATTATATTATAGATTTATTTCTTATGATTGATTCCGTCAATTGGTCACAAGGTACAGGATGTTAGTTTTATATATATATATACAGAAAACTAACACCCTGTATTTTGTGACCGGAACGAATTGCTCGTTTAAACATATTAGATTTAAAGCCATAGGGTTTTGTATTTACCATATATATTGCCATACTTTGTATTTATGTAGCTTAATAAGAGAATCTTTAGCAGAAGCCATAGAAAGCTTTTATTTTTAGGCAACCCGGTAATGAATCACAACAACAATGCGAAATTAATGAAAATACAGATAAACAGAGAGCAAAACCTTCTCAGGAGGCTATGAAAAATAAGATTGCTCTACTCGAAAAAAATCTGAATGCTTTGTATTCTGCCAGAGATACTATGCCAAGCCGTGCTGAAGTTGATAAACAGATGATTAAGTTGCGCGAGGAAATAAAAACAGCAAAACAGTCTTTAAACAGGAAAGTTCAAAATGCAGTTGCCCAGAAGAAACACAAGGATGGTATGAAAAGTAAGTTAGAAGATATTTGTCATGAAAATCCAGAAATAAAAAAAGACTATCTCTGAGGGATTCAGTGGGACGTCCTAATCTTGAAAGCAATCAACATTCACTATTGAAAACGGAATCAATTCGCAGTTTAAAAACTCTTGATGAACTGACACAAGAATTACGTAAAATAGGATTTGACATTAGTCGCAGTGGGATATATCTTCGTTTGATTCCCAGAAAATCTAATTCTGCAGAGGGACGAAGACATGTATCGACAGTCCCTGTTAAGCTCATTCTGGCTCAAAAAGGATCACCACAAGAGCCACTTAGATAGCAAGTTCGCTGAAACATCAATCCATTATTTAGAGAACATAGCATCCATACTTGGACCAGATCAAGTATTTTTCATATCTCAAGATGATAAAGCTCGGGTCCCTATTGGCGTAACTGAGGCAAATAAGCAAGCACCTCTTCTAATGCACATGGAATATAGAATCAAATTGCCTGATCACGATTGGGTAATCGCTGAGCGTCATAAATTAATACCATCTGTTTATGCTGGTATCAAAATCACTTCCAATATGCTAGGACAACCGCAAGCCGTTGGATATTCTGGACCAACATACATCGGTATTCGAAGTGGAAAGCATAGTTCATCTACTGCTAATACTCATGCTCAGGATTTCGAGACGCTTCTCGAACTTGAAGAGTTTCGACCATTAGCTAAAACTGACCATGGACTAGTAAAACCAGTGGTAATCATGACGGTTGATGGAGGACCAGATGAAAATCCACGTTATCAAAAAGTCATAGGGTTTGCTATACAACACTTTAAGCGACATGATCTCGATGCATTGTTTTTAGCTACCAATGTTCCTGGAAGAAGTGCGTATAACATGGTAGAGCGCAGAATGGCTCCTCTTAGTCGGGAACGGGTTGGTTTAATATTGCCTCATGACCATTTTGGGTCTCATTTTGATGAACGTGGCGTTACAATTGATGAACATTTAGTAAGATCTAATTTCGAATTTGCAGGAAATGTATTAGCTGAAGTATGGAGTTCAATGGAAATTGATGGCTATAATGTTAATGCAAAATATGTTGGGGCAGGTGAACAAGATCTTCGTGACATTAAATGGTATTCAGAACATGTGCGTGAGAGCCAATACTTGCTTCAAATTGTAAAATGTAGAAATACAGAATGCCGTCGTCCATGAAGTGGCCTATTTAGATTACTAGACAATAGGTTTCTTCCACTACCTGTAAAAGTAAAACAAACAGTTGATGACTTGGTTTTGGATGAAGGAGGGCAATTTCTTAATCTTCCAGTCAATTTAGCTCTACGCTTAAGTGCTTCACTCAAAGATTTCCTGCAAATGCCCTACGATTATTTTGTCCGACGGTAAAATTGAGTCTATCAAGTCGAACATGCAAAACCTGTGGTCTTTAGCATGCCTCCGTCAAGTCACTAAATCGTCACATTGAAAATATCACTGATGTGCATTATTCAAAATTTAGAGTACCATGATGTTGAATCGCTCGATGAGAACGACGTAGACATTCGAAAATCCGATGAAAGCCAGCAAACTCACAACACTGAGCAGCAATCGATGCAATCCAATGTCATCGAAAACTTAGAATCATGGATTCGGGTTTCATGGACTGAAGACTGTTAATTTGAATTTAATATATGTACCAAAAATTTAAAATATGTTTGTTATGTTAGTAAGATATAATATTTTTGTCCTTTACTCTATGTTGAATAACGTATCAGTAAAATATGATCTCTATCCTAAATCTATTTTCTTATTTTTCAAATTATAATTATAACGTTACAATCATAATATAAAAAAAAAACAATACATTAATTGACAGATGTTTACGTAAGCATGGGGGGAGGGGGTAAGAGCTTTGCTTACTTTTGCTGACAAGGGGGATGGGGGGGTAAATAATTGTAATAAATCTGCTTACGTAATACTTGAACGGCCCCATATTTAAAATATCGGTAGGTATACATATTTATACATACAAAGGTCATTAGGGCCCAACTTTGACCTTTGCTCATAATAAGTGGTGATATAACACTAGGTAGCAGAAACACACAAATTGACCAAATTGCTGGAGCGTAAAAAAATGAGATTTTCAGCTGGTTTAAAAAGGTTCGAAGATTCTTCTGTTTGTTATTGATAACCATATTTTTTCTGTGTATACCACAAATTGCTTAAGCGTAAGAATATGTATTAACTCCGACTGGTTGTGAGAAGAATAATCAAGAGTTCAACCATTCTTCTGTATATTTTGAATAAATATCTTTTTTGAGTTATATATCGTTCTAAGTACCATCGTTTCTAAGATATTCCACCATAAAGTTTGAGGAAAAATGAGTTTGGCTCTATTCTTTAAAATAAAGTTTCATTGAACATTACAGCATTGAATTACGTATTTACCTGAAGATAGCCAATTCGATGGACAATTTTCTAATAATAATAACAATCAACGATTATACGTATTGCTCATGGTCTGTAATTCAGAATGTATTCTACAAAAGGCCAGAAAAAATGTAGATTGACTGACAGTGTTTATTGATCTTTTTAAAAATTCTATTAATTTGTGATATGAGCAACGCGAAATTTTATGCCAATATTACCATTTGTTGGTCTGTCTGACAGTCTATCTGTTGTGGTGGTTGGGGAGTCATACTAGGTAGTGCTGGTATATTTTCTAAGATCAATGCTGAGGCGACAGAGTAAGTTTTAAGCGAAAAAACAATAACGCATATACTCGTATGGGTGTCCAGCATCTCCTAGTGGAGTCAGACAAATATGGTCAAAATAATTATATCAAACTTTGTATTCTAAATTAGATCAAACTTAGGTGTTATGGACAATGTTTTGTTCTTTATTGAAAATTAAATTTATTAACAAACGCGTTTTGACACACATAAAATGTCGCGAAGTGACTCTGTTACGCAAGGAAACCTCCAGGGCAGGGCTTTTTGTAGTTAGAACAAACATTTGTGGTATATACAAATTTTGGCTGCTCAGGTGTTAAAAAGTAGACGTAACGGCTGTTGTCTCAACATAACGTCGATATACCTCAAAACCAGTATGAGCTATTCCGTGCCGCGTATTGTGCAGTAAAGTTAGCATACGAACATTTAGATAAGCCACCATTTTACTTTGCAGTGTTATACTTACATCAACGTCTGTGATCATTTCCTTCGTGGACACAGTAGTGTCGATCCTTCTAATGGAGCCTTCGTGAATGTTGATGTCCATCTTCAGGATCTGGTAGCGACGCAGCAGGAATACTATGGGGATCGGAAGGATGCCTGCCAGGATCATCGAGATTGCTATGCCAAGCACCCAAGTGGGATAAGGGGTAGCTACGGTATCACCCTGTAGAAAATGGCTTCATGTAAATTGACTTTGTACTTCCCACACAAAAAGAAATTGCGTATCATAGATAATGCAACCTCTGCCGCTAAACTTTAGAACGCAAAGCTATGTTAAACTTATAATACAATAATCCAAAAACAATATCGCAAACATTCTCAACTCCAGTATTCGCCGAGAACGTGGCCTGCGCGGTGGTTTGCCCGGGCTCGTACCTTGTCCATCAAGGTAAATTTACTGGCGTCATCGGGCGGTCGCGAGTGGTGAACATAATGTTCACTATCAATATTATGTGTATCACTAGTATATCTGACCGATGGTTAATATTATCGGGACCAGAAGATGCAACGTTTACAAACATTCAGTACCCTATAATCCCAAAACTCCAATATAATTTCGAAACTTTTCGCGATTAAAACATATAAATGGGCATAGTGTGCACTAATTTTCATGCAAAATGTTACAAGCTATTATAAGCCCACGATATAGGAAGCACATACAAACTATAGAAAGCTTCAGGCTTCAACCCAGTTTAAAAGTCGTCAATATCTCAATCTGTTTTTGAGAAATGTAAGGTGAACTGTTAAATGTGGACAAGCATTTTGGAAACAACTCACTCTGCGATCTAAATTTCTTGACAAAATTCTGTAACACCTTGTATGCATGTACAACAAGCAATTATGTCAATTTTGTGGCTTCTATATCTTGCGAACTGCCCGTGTCGATGGTTAATAAATAGAACAAAAATACATTTTTAAAAACTAGCTTTTATTTAGCTGTTAACAAAATGAATAAAAAATTAAAAAATATTTTTTCCTTTTGGAAATATTTAACCGATAATGAAGCTCCTTCATCTCAAGTTTTCAAATAAAAGCATTTTACACCCTTTTTCCATTCTCCTGTCAAAACGGAGAACGCCTTTATTTAAATGTTAAATGATTTGTAATGACGTCACTTCGCTTATTGTGTTTCTCTCATCAAGCTCTTTCATTTGATACCCATATCATATGGAAATGATGAATCGCCAATTTGTGGCATCGGCCATATTGATTTGAAAACGGCGGCAGGTAATTTATTCTGTATTGACATACAAATCAAACGTGTGTATAAAACTTCAACGTAATTGGTTAAGGTTGGCTGGTTCATAATTGTGTTCCATGATTTGTACCAGTCATACTAACATACTAAGAAGCTTGTAAAGAAGTCAATTTAAATATAAGCTTGTTAAAACAAAAAGCAAGCAAGAAATGATACTTCACTTACCTCTTCTCTACTCCACGCTTGATACGTCGGATGCTTGATAACCATAGACACCACCGAGGACACCAAAATTACCGCCATGATGATGGGAGCTAGAAACCGCCACGTGACTTGCCAGTAGATGCCTGGCTTGTATCCTGTCATATCTTGGATGTCTTTGGTGAACTTTTCGTGTCCATAAACGTAGACCACCGATATCATTTCCATCATGGCGACCACTACCAGTCCAATGGTTCCAGCGAATGAGTCGAACATGCTTAGCCAGTATTCGCCAGCGCCTGTTGTGAATATTATGCCGACGAAGAAGCAAATTATGCACACAGTTGCTGGAAAAAGAAAAAATATATCAAGGACAGGATTAAATCCGCGGCTCCGCTCGCCTGGAAGTAGTGTAAAGCATGATTCCAAAGGAATTTCGACTGTGTAAATAAATTTCGATGTCGCATACATAATAAACCGCTATGATATACTAAGTGACATATAAATCCGTACACCCAGTTTAAATGGTTTTGTTTTAATAAAATGGTGGTGAAAGGAGGAATCCACAGTTTTTTGTTGAAAGACATGTTCATCACACTGTTGGAGTTATGGTTTGGGGTGCTATAGCTTATGGTTCCAGGTCACCTTTAATCTTCATCAGAGGTAACATGAACGCGCAGCGTTATATCCACGAAGTTCTAGAACCCCATCTTTTACCCTATCTTGACACCCTGGCAGATCCAACTTTCCAACAAGATAATGCCCGACCACATGTTGCAAGAGTCACAATAGATTTCTTTCAACATAATGATGTCACATTGTTACCATGGCCACCAAGATCTCCCGACTTATCCCCAATTGAGCACGTGTGGGATATGCTGGGTAGGAGATTGCTCAATTTGCAACGTCCTCCTCAGACTCTAGAAGCACTTCGAGAGGAGTTGGTGGTTGCCTGGAATGAGATACCACAGGAGGACATTGACCACCTGATCAGAAGCATGCCTAGGCGCGTTGGAGAATGCGTAGCACATCAGGGTGCATCCACACATTATTAAAGGTCAAAGGGCTTTAAAGCAGTGCAATCATTTTGAAATTTTTATCATTTACTTATTATGCTTCATTAAGTACTTATACAAAATTTTATTAAAACAAAACGATTTAAACTGGGTGTTCGGATTTATATGTCACTTAGTATAATTTGATTCCTGGTTCTCGATCTTTCATAGTCAAATTGTCATGGCAGTGTCAAAGTTATCATAGTGGATCAAATATGTGATCTCAAGTTCCAATCGAAATTAATTTCAAGGGTCGAGCTTCAATTAGAATCATGACACAGGTCATTCGTTTTGCATTAGTGAGGAGGTAAAGAAGCTTGGCGTCGCGTCGGAGGAAGATGTAGTATTCAAAATAATGCAATAGTTACTTTGGAAATGAACATTTTTCATCCAATGTTCTAAGTCAACAGTTAATTAATTTCAATGTCCCATTTTTTACATTTTTGACAAAAAGTAAGAAGTTACGATATACCTGAGCTTAAAATTTACCACAATTAGCAGTTCAGAAGTTAAAAATAGACGTTTTCCGTTGAAAATAAGATAACAAACAATATGAGTAAATAAATATAAAATCAAAACAGGCCCAATAGAAGGCATCGGCTGTGCATGGACCAATAATTTAAGTGGAAACTGTAGAATGCGAATGACAAAAAAAGACAAAAATTAGCTACAGTAGATTATGTATTTAGTTGATGTTCGTATTTATGAGTTTATGAATTTCAGTCCTAGGTATAGAATGTAGCCATTTTTTTAAATTTCTTTTGAAACAATTGCCGAAACGTAAATCTTTTAAGTCTTTAGGTATAATTTCATAAAATTTAGGCGCTAAATAGAGATATGATCGCTGCATTATATATTTATGCGGTTGAGGAACTACTGTGCCACGAATTTTGTACCTTGTATAATGATTATGTTTAATTTTTTGGTCGGTGTTTACAAATTTATGGTAGTGAGTGATACTGTGTAATAAATAAAGCTGTCTTATATCATACATTCGAACATCTGCGTATAATGTTTCAGTGGGATAAAGTTTCGGTTTTTTAAATATCATTTTTAGAATAGTTTTTTGAAAAACATCTAAATTATAGATATGTGAGGAACATGCAGCTCCCCATGCTAATATACCATATGTGAGATGAGGCTCAATCAGTGCATGGTATAATGTTCGAAGATATTTTTCTGTCAATATATTCCCAAGGTATTTAATTTTGTAGGATACAAATCTAACTTTCTTTAAAATATAATTGACATGGATTATTTTATAATTTTTATAAATTATTACCTTGATAGTCATAGTCAAGGCCATGGACATACTTGGATGCAAAGTTTTTTGCTCTTTTTATTTGGCTGTCAAAATAAATGGGTTCCTTTCGAGAAATCTGTCTTGACCTTCAAATGAGCTTGAAGGTCATGGTCAAGGTCTCGTTTAAGATCACTATTAGATGAATCTTTTTTCCTATAACCTCCTTCGGGTATCAGTTACCAAGTGTAAAAATTATTGGCATTCCAGATTTATTCCACAATCATTTTTATTTCTCCCTGACTTTATTTGTGATGGGATTTTAAAACAAATTGTTACTTATTCTACTCTGCAAAATGGTAAGGTTTCTACTTTCGACATCCATCACGAATTTAGTTTTTTATATGGACGCTATGTTTCAGCGATTTTTTTCCTTTGTTGGCCATGTTGGCGAACACTATAGATTTCAGATATAAGATAGGGACGGCAGAACTGGAAAAGCTTCATGTAGTAAAAGACCTAGGGGTATACATTGATGGAGAAACTCTCATTCATCACCCACGTAGAGCACATCGTAAATGATGCAAATAGAACACTAGGGTTCATAAACAGGACATGCAGAGAATTTACGAACCCAAAAACGCTTCTTTCATTGTACTACGCTTATATACACAACAAACTGATGTTTGCATCAGTAATATGGAATCCGTCTTACAATGTACATATAGTCAGCATAGAAAGAATTCAACACAAATTTTTGAAGATGTTAGCACATAAAACTCACCAACCTGTTACAGATCATCATTATACGCAAATTATGAAACAGTTCAATATGATTTCCTTAAAAGATAGAAGAACAATTTCTAACATTTGCTGTGTCCATAAATTGTTGAATGGCCTCACTGACTGTCCGGATCTTTTGGCAAACTTGAACTGTAACACTCCTGATAGAACGTTTAGAACCTATCATCTGTTTAGAATACCGTTCCGTAGAACCAATCTTGGTCTTAATTCCCCTTTGGTCAGTGCTCAAAAAAATCATAATAATTTCTGTAATATAGATTTATTTAACATTAGCTTGACCTCTCTGAAAAAGGCTTTAAAGTATGAGTATTACAGCTCTATGGCAGACTAAAATAGAAATGTTTTATTTTTTTACATAACTCAAGTTATCACCTCCAATATCATTTCTGGTATAATTTCAATTTAATTTTGATTTCAGTTTTAATTAAACGTAAGTAAATGTTAAATTATGTATACTCCTTTTATTAAAAAAGTTAAATCAATAGTTTATTGCTTATAATTAGAACTACTCACTCAGTTTATGTTGTTACAACAATATCGGAGGATAAAAAAATACTAATAGGTATTGAAGTATTCAATAATGTAATATATGTATATGTATACGACATTTTATGTAAGTTTAGTTTTAGTTCACTGAGGGTGTGTGTTGGGTTAACACCCCAAACTGTATATAAATAAATAAATAAATGAATTTGTTGACGGAACGAACATTATACCGAAATAAAGAGGTATGCTGAAATCTAAACACAAAAGGAAATGCTTATTGATGGTAATAACAGTAATAATAAGCAGAGGTAAATCAGAACAGATGTTCTAAATCCTGTTCGTCATTTTGTAGGCAAAGCCTGATTCTTCTCTGTATACTGCTCACTGCTCTATTTATTTCTCTTTTTTTCAGTCTTCCAAACTGTGTTACTATGTTATTTAAGGTCTGGTCTGGTATACGAAACAATTGACTCTCTGATAATTTCAAGGCCTACCTAGGAACTTCTGTTTTTCTGGAATAACTGAAGTTGGCAATGTCAATAAAGGAATAATATTTTGAAAAGCAGCATACACAAATTCCAATATGGCGCCCTCAAGAAAAAATAAAAGTGATGCTGGAGAACAAGAAACGAAGCGTCATATTAAAATTCTAATTATGCCATCCTGTGCAATTTTTTAAAAAATCCCGCTATGAATAAAATAAAGAGAAAATTATAACGATTTTGGGACGTTTGTTAAATTTCTAAATTATATTCTCTTTCACAATGCAGCATTTTAATGAAAAATTATGAGTAAACCTGGGTATCCTTATGAAATTACCTGTGATGTACTGTTTGCTGACCCTCTTGAATATCTCGATGTCAAAGATCGTACATAGCATGCCTTCCAGGATACCGATTTGAGAACCGATACCCAGTGAAAGAAGCATCATGAAAAAGATGATAGCCCAGAATGGTGCGCCTGGCAACTCTACGATGGCTTGCGTGAAGACTATGAAAGCTAGACCTGTTCCCTCGGCAGCCTGTAAAAACATCGAATTAGAATCAAATAAATAAGTTAAATTTTGAATACGAACGGCTGAACAGTTTTTTTTATCATATTCAAGAACAATGACGATTAAGTCTGTTGAACTTCCGTGTAGCTCAACTATCTCTTCAATAAAAAAAAACAAATCCAGAAATTAGACAAGAAAGTGCAGTCGAACATCAAGTTGAAACTATAAGATTTGGAAGCCAGCTATCCTTGATGATGATTAGTCTTAAATTTTTGTTACTCATAAATTGAGAGTAATGGACTGTAAAATACTCGTAGTGTGTAATGGACTTTTACGATGTACAGATCTGTCATGTGTTCTTAATAAAGTGTGAATATGCCAAATTGTACGATAACGTCTGAAAATCAGTCAGTAAATATTTTATTCACTTTACAGGGTGTAAACGTTATGGTAGTCATTACTGAAATGGGTAATAGGGGGTGTCAAAACAAGTCAAAAGTTCATATGACCCATGGTCCAAAAGTCAACAGATTTTTGTCTAAATGGCTTTATAGTTTACAACTTTAAGTGCTTTATATCGACCACAATCACCACAATCTTACTAATTTTTATAATCTAATCTAAAACGTTTTTAAATTGGGTAATTAACAAATAAATAGCATTAAGTTCTTCTAAATTAAGCCAAAATTTGTAGTCAGTAAGTAAGTAGGTTTCATTACATTAAATATTTAAAACAACCATGACAACAGCGCGTCGGTCTTTCATCAGTCTTATCGAACCGTCAATCGATCGCAAACGGTAACAGCGGTTAGTATGTTGTTTTGTTTTTGTTCGCGTACGTCGTCGTGTTTATTTACAATGTTCTCGAATCAAGAGTTCGCCGACATGTTGTTAGTTTACGGTGAATCTCGTCAGAATTCAAATCTTGCAGCTCAAATTTATCGCGACAGATTTCGCCAACGGGTACACCCAGACAGAAGGACATTTGTGCAAGTGTACCAAAGACTTCGAGATACAGGAAGTGTTCAGCCCACTAATATTCGCACTCATGAAAGACAGGTTACTGAAGAGCAGGAGGAACTAATTTTAAATATCGTGGAAATCAATGCAGATATCAGCACTCGGAAATTAGGCCGTCGCGTAGAACTATCGCATAGAATCCTATGGAAAAATTTGCTTTATCCCTACCATGTAGAACGAGTGCAAGCCTTGTTACCAGAAGACTATCCTCGCAGACTAGCATTCTGTCAGTGCTTTTTGCAGAAAAACATTGAAAATCCGGATTTTTTTAAAAGCATTCTAGCGACGGACGAATGTACGTTTACGCGAGACGGGATTTTAAATTTCCATACGTGGGCTCAAGAAAATCCTCATACCATTCGTGCCACTAGAACCGTACGGCTACCGTATCGCCCTCTAGCATTTACTCTGGTATTTAAATGCTTACCTTAAACATAATGCCAGCATTTCAACAGGTTGTATACAGTTTCTGAACTGCGTGTTTTGTCGTTAAAGAACACTCTTCAGTTTCCCTCCATCAAAGGAGCGAACTGACATACGAAAGTAGTTGAAAAACTTTTGGTCATCGTTTCTAAGATCTTCAAATAATGTGTGGAACATCCCGACTTCCTCTCGCCTCTGATTAATTGGGTGAATCCAGTGAAGGCGATTGCGCCTTCGACTTTTCCGACGCCGATACAGTATCCATAACGCAACAACTTCTTCACGATCCATTAGTTAGAACTTAACCAGACAAAACTTTCCAGTGAACTGATAAAACGACGATCACCTTGTAATGATTTAACATCGTTCAATGTGAAAGCACGATTAAAAGTCGGGCGATTTTTTCCCGCACGAGAGGAATCGTGTAATGTGAAAGCGTTGGTATGGTTTCCGGCACCAACGATCCACAGGGGACCTCGTAGCTTATTCCGGCAACTGTGGAGGGAACTCATCTAGTCTTATGGTGAAACTCATGTCGTTGCTCTTGATATCACGAACGCTGGAGATTATTACTTCTTGGGGCCACAACAATCTGGTACAGTCGTTCCGAAACACAGTACTGTACCTGTACGAACAGGAAGCGTCATAGCGCTTATCCGGTTTTGATGGATGGCCGTTCATTTCGGCTGGTCGGAGTCCAGATCACCGAGGACTTGATTTGGCATAATCGCATCTAGTCAATAGGATAGTTGCTGGGGAAAGCTGGGCTTTTTGTTTAGCGCTAAGAAGTACTGATCTCACTCTGCATGAGGCCCAGATAAGTCATAGCCTCGAGTACTGCTCACATATTTGGGGTGCGGCCACTCTGACTACATTATCCATGCTCAATGTTGCTCAGAGAAGGGCTATCCGACTGATCGATGGCTCTAATCCAATGAACAGTCTCGGGAGCCTTTCGAATCGGCAAACCGTCGCCGACCTAGCTCTTTTCTAATGCTACGTCGACGCGCTTTGCTCCTCCATGCTACTGCCAAACAGGCCTGCCCGATTTTAGCGACCCATACTAAACGTGTCGAACTTAGTACATCCAGAACTTGTGGATACGACCGCTCCTTTGTCCCTAGGGTTCCGAGATTGTGGAACAGTCTACATGAGGAGACTTTTCCCAGTTCAACTAACCATAGACATTTCAAAAATCGGTTTAACAAAATTTCTTTGAGCCTTTCATAGCAACTGCGGTGCCCTGCGGGGCTCCTTCTGTGTAACAAAAAAGGGAAACGAAAATGGACAGTATCTTGCTGTTAGCAAATTGCCAGAACGCTGGTAAGGGTGTATTGATATAGAAGGGCAATACTCAATACAGTATCTTTATAAATAATTTTTTCAAAGTATTTTATTTCGGGGTTTTGGTCCGGACAACCTTATTAGTAAGGGTTTGAGATTTTTTTTTATACTCCAACTACCACGAAGGCCTAAGGCCTAAGCACCCATTGGGTACCGTGGGGCTATAGTGGAATACATAGGAAAGAGGGAACGCCACACGGACTCTGGCGAGGGAACACGTGTTCATGCAACATGCACACATTCTGGCTCCGCCTTCGAGATCCGCCGGGTGGTACCTCCGCGTTCGACAGTCAGAGACCGTCTACCACCTACGGACAATCACAACATCCATAGTCAAGAGAAAAAATTAAGAGATAATGAAGTAGTACTTACTGCATCTAATTCTCTGTCCAGAGAACAATCCCTCAAACCAGTGATGTTCAGATGATCTCCCATTGCTACCGTTGTTGCTAACCCATGTGATTGGGCAAGTAATTCTTCGTTACTGAAAAAGTAGAACAACACTATTAAATATTGTGTATTGGAACGTATTACTTTTGAATGTTTTGCATTGCATTCCGAAATTTTGGAAAAAACCTGAAAACTATAGGAAAAGAAAATTTGACATGGCAGAATTAGGCTTTCATGAGGAATGAGGTTTAAAGCCCTTTGGAATTAAACAACGCGACGAAAATCGGTGATGCCCGCCCTCTTCCTTATGCCACCCAAATTAAGAAAATAGCATGTCAACAAAAACATTCATATACATATAATAAAAAGCTATTTTAGACTTATTTGCGCTACTTATGAAGGTTTGTGAAAAAATGTCACTTTTATTTTTGAGATTAGAATTACTCAACCTGGTGGCCAACCTATAGAACTCGAAATAATACCTTTCGATAATTTTTGTATTGTAATCACGGAAAATTTCAAAAATGGATTTCATAAGATATGCACATCACGGACATCCATATCATTCATTTCCATCGGTCTGGTTGTCACAAATACTAGGGTGGTCCCAGAAGTACCCGACCCAACAAAGAAAACACAACATTTTTGTAAAAAAATGTATTTATTTTTGAACATAATCTCCTTTGAGCTCTATACACTTTTCCAGCGATGTTCGATACCCTTTTTATAATAAGAACTGTCTTGCTCCTCAAAATAGCCATTAACTGCCGACATCACTTCTTCATCGTTGGAAAATCTTTGACCACTGAGCCATTTTTTCAAGTTTGGAAACAGAAAATAATCCGAGGGGGCTAAGTCTGGTGAATAGAGTGCATGAGGTAGCAATTCAAACTTTAATTCGTTAATTTTGGCTTTTGCAATAACGGATTTGTGAGCTGGTGCATTGTTTTGATAAAACAACACCTTCTTCTTAACCAAATGCGGCCATTTTTGCTTGATTTCATCGCTCAAACGTTGCAATAAGTTCGCATAATACTCTCCGTTGACAGTTTTACCTTTTTCAAGATAGTCAATGAAAATTATCCCACGCGCATCCCAAAAGACCGACGCCATAACCTTGCCTGCAGATGAAACGGTCTTCGCCTTCTTTGGAGCCGGTTGTCCCTTTTGAGTCCATTGTTTTGATTGTCCTTTTGTCTCGGGCGTAAAGTGAACGGACCCATGTTCCATGCATGGTTATCAAACGACGCAAAATTCTGCTTTGTTGCCGTGAAATTTCGCTAAACATTCAATTGAAACATCTTCACGACACTGTTTTTGCTCGATTGTGAGCAATCGCTGCACCCATCTTGCACACAGTTTTCTCATGTCCAAATTTTCAGATAATATACGATGAATCGCACTTTTTGAAATGCCTACTATGTCTGCTAGCTCGCGCACTTGCAGTCGACGATTATTCAATACCGTTTTGTGAATTCTCTTCACCATTTCTGGAGTCGTCACATCATTTGGTCGACCACTGCGATGCTCGTCTTGGCAGCTCATACGGCCTCGTGTAAACTCTGCTACCCAATACTTTACTGTTGTAAACGAAGGAGCAGACTCACCCAGAGTAGAATCCAGTTCAGCTTTTATATGGGTTGGGCTGAGGCCTTTGAAATAAAAGTATTGTACCACATAACGATGACCAATTTTCTCCATTTTCACTGAAAACGTTCAGTATTGATGGCTGCCACACAAATACTAAACAACGTGGCGTCTTCAAACTTGACACATGCTTTATAGGTTGCATACTTTCTAATACAATGATATTTTTCAAACAACTATCTAATCTAGGTCAGGCCGGGTACCTCTGGGACCACCCTCGTACTTCTCACACCTACTGGCGAGGAAATGTTATAATCACGGAAAATAAGATACTTCTATTACGTTCTTTGGATGTTATATGATATGCACATAACGGGAATCCATGACACTCATGTCCGTCGGTCTGTGTGTCGGTATGTCCGGTAATCATTTGCACGTCTGTAGCTTGAAAGTACAGCTCGGATTTTGATGAAATTTCCACACATATGTTACTACTGTGACAAGGATGAAAAATATTGATCGGTTTTCGAAAATCGGGCCAGTGGCGGCGGAGAAAAAAATCCAAAAATGAAAAAAATTGTTCAAACTGCGTTTTTTGAGTTTTCAGAGGATCCTGACCAATTTTGGAAATGTTTTCATGGGTAATGAATTGGGGATGAGGATTTTAGGGGGTGAGAGGATGTGCAATATTTTACGGCAGTTCTAGCCATAGTGGTTATTTGCACCTATTAGCCATATTTCAGAGATGCATTACCCGGTATATTTACCCGTAGGTCTTGGAATGATACAAATATTTTGTATATAAAGTGCACTAGCCGCTCTCGCCCCACCCGACGAATTTACCGGAACAGCTGAGAAAAGGTAATATAATTTGAATATAAATAATAGGGTGGCATTATTAGAACTGTAGTTATTCAGCCATCTACAAATATGAAGATTTGTCTGGAATGGGGAATCTCATCTATTTTTAGTATAATTTCCGTAAATAATACCAGAGCGTACGCAAGTTGTCCTAGATTATTCAAAAAAGAATTGATCCTACAATACTGTTTCTACAATCATATTCATTATATTACATGACCAGTTGTAAGGGTTTGCGTTTGCATAACCAACCTACCAGAACATATGGAAGTTTGCCAAACAATGCCTTTTTCACTATTATTGATTCTATTCCGATCTTCATAGCTGAAAAACAATACAGATACCTGATACTTCATTTATCCACAGTCGGGTGGGAAGTACAGAGTCAATCTACTTGATGCTTTTATAAAATGTACAGTGCTTAGCGGCTGTAGCAGTCGTCCTTTATTAATAGCCCGCCCAGTACAATGTACAAGATTGATATCTTTAAAATCGCTCAACCTTTGTGGTACAAAGTTACAAATTATGAAAAATGCTAAACATGAAAAGCGGCATTTATGAAGAGAACAAGCTGAAAGACCTAATATCAAAATGAACATTTTGAATGGAGAACGCAGTTAAATTGTATTTCTCAAAAATACCTTCAGTCAGGTCCGATAATACTAAAAAGGACATGTTATCAAAACTGGCAGTTATTTCCGGTAAAGTAAACATAATTCTGATTGGTTTGCGATTTCTGTTCGTTATCCCAGCTATTTGTAATATAAATAGAATACGTCGTAATGCCACTACAAATCAATGCATGCCTGAATACACTTGGAGATATCGAATAGGAGGTTGATTCTGAGATTGTATAAGGTTGGTAGCCAGAGTAATCAAAATGGTCAATTCAGTATCTGACACCTGATTATCAGTATTTCTCAAAGAATACTGATTTTTCGTATTTCTTTTTGAGGTAGTTCCAGTCACAAATGACCTCACCCTGCCCATTCGGACCCTACGTTGAAAAATCTCTATGTTTGTACTACCCTTAAGATACGTTTCCATTGCAACAAATTGCTCTACATAACGTGCCACTTATGCATCAGAAACTTATATATAAGCTACAACATGTTTCTCTTGTATTATACTCCATGAGAGAAGGTAAAAGCAGATACGGTCCCCTTGCTATTCACCATCATTCAAAATAAAAGTTGATTGATATTTTTACTTACTCTTTTTCACAGCTCTTGACATTGCTAACGGCCTTGAAGCCCAATATGGCGAAAATTACTACACTCGCATATATAGCGGTCATAGCATTGCAAACTGACACTAAGATGACATCGCGGACGCAATTGTTCTTTGGAGTATTGTAGGATCCAAAAGCGATCAGAGATCCAAAAGCTAGACCAAAGGAGTAGAAGACTTGCGTTGCTGCGTCCAACCATACTTTTGGATCCAGAAGTTTGTCCACCTGAAATAGTTGAAACAATAAGTCATAGTTCTAGTTTTTCTAAAAAATGAGGGAAATGTTGATCGCGGCTTCCTGAACTATTCTAAGGTTTGTCCCATACGATGAAGATGACAGATAATCCTTACACAATCTGGCTTATTACTGCAATTCCGACCACTTGATGGGCGAGCGTGATGCTGGTGCGACATCTTCTGTGCATAGCGCAGAACGTCGTGCAATTATGAGCCAGTGGACATAAGGGTCCTTCATTGTATGGGATGAGGATGAAAATTTATTGGTAGATAGCGTTCGTCATCACATTTTGAGTTCTTCAAAAGATCATACTCACTTATTTGCTTCCCGTTCTGTTTCCAGGACTAGACCTATACTGCACTGATGAGTTACTAATGAGCACCAAGCATTTCTGTTTGCGATTGGTCATGGTTACAGAGAAGGGAAGCAAACATGTCCACTCCACCCCATCTTTTTTGCATTTTGCGATTTTCGAGTTTCAAATTCACAAAAATTCAATGGACTCTTGATGATTTACAAAATCTGTTTGAAATTGCTATCCTCCGATAGAATGCAAGGTTACAGCATTCTCTTTTAGGCCCGGTAGTTTTTAATGTCTGGTTAACTTTAAGTCAGGTAACTATAACTTGGAAGACAACTACCAGTTGTCTGTGAATTCGTGTTTCAAGATGTAGTTAACAATCAATAAACCGTTGTACGCTTGTGGTGCTAAGTTAACATCTTGTAGAGAAACCTACGTTATGTCTCAAAAAACCTACTGAATGTCAAAAAAAAAACGACAAAATGTCACTTTTCAAGATATGTTTCTTATCTATATCCATCCATCCACACTGATGCTGGATGTAACTCAAGTAAGAACTGATTCTTGTCTATTTGAAAGAGTACAGCATTTCATGTTTGAGAGAATGTACCCTTACATTAGAGTTTCTATGAATAAAAAATATTGTAGCAATATGGCGTACAGAAATATTGAGTATAAATGTCATACCTTTGGCTTCAACATATGTGTTAGACCCGCACCAGCTCCTTCTAAGGTAATACCTCTTACAAAAAATATAGTTAATACTAAGTATGGAAACATCGAAGTGAAGTACACAACCTAAAACGGAAAGAAAAACAGTTACTTTCGTACCTAACATAGATCAGATAAACATTTATGGGTCATTCAAGAGCGCCCAACTTAAATTAGTTGTAAGCATTTTAAGGTATGTTGTGTTTATGTATTTGACCCCGATAATAATAGGTCTGCTTTTTGACGTTTATTAATTTTCAACATATTTTAAATGGGTCACTTACTGCAAGATTGACAGATTAAGCCCAATTTGAGGGTTAGTTTTGAAACAAGCACTAAATCTATATAGAAAGAGGGTAATTATGCGAATGTCGTATGTATTAAGAGCACCAACTGCTAATTTGCCTCTCGATAAATACGTGTGAGGATCTTGGGAGTTTTTGAAAATGTTGAGGGATGAAAAATTGGGGTTAAGGAGTTGCACGGGGTGGGGGAGGGGATTATTTATGCGCTTCTGGCTCCAGTAGTTTCATATACCCGCATGGTCAGTAAGCAGACGCGACCTTTTAAGGTCGAAACGATGTCAAATGGGAGGGGACTAATTGTATTTGATTTGCTTAATCCAACGTTAACTTTTTTCCAAGACGTGGTGACCATAATCTTTTATGCGTGGAACTGCAAAGTCAACTTACTTCATGCCTTTTGTTTTTCAACAGGAAAAAATTTAAATATGAAAATCAAAGAAAAACGAAGCCACGGAAGGCGCCGTTGGTTGGTCTTATTAATGTTTCTTCATGTAAAAGAAGCGAGCTCTAATGACTGCCCTAACTGACACCTACCTTTCCCGAGCTTTGTATGCCCTTCATCACAATGAAGAAGACGATGATCCAGGAGAGCAACAGGCAAAGTACGATCCACCACCTTGGCCAACCTGGTTCTTCAATACTGGACGATGCGTCCAAAGTGACTCGGTACCAAAAGTAAGCGGTCGCTGACGATTTGTGGCATTCAGGTTCCACGGTACCGTTTATTATTGGGCAGCTGTCATAAGGCAGTGGACTCTGGAACAACACAGAATATGAGTCAACCAGTACACAAGTGGTACAGTTTATGTTTATGATAACTTGGATTCGAATTAATTATGCAATACTAGCGCACATAATTCTATTGAAAAATGGCATATATGTAAAGTATTAGGAAATGAAAAAAAGTAATTTGTCTATAACCTTAAATATGACCACAGATATCATTTGAAGGTCAAGTAAGAAAGTTCAAATACCAGTAACTATTTTTAGCAATTTTCCTGTCTAGCTCATGATTCTGCACCAAAGTGCATCTTGAATATGAGGTCACGCCGATATAAGTGGTCCAGTGTGGACACCATCTACTCAACGAATTTATAAATAGGTAGAAGGAATAACCCTACGATTTATCTGTCTCCAAAATCTCAGTTTGTAGTCAGCATAAAAGTGATTGACAAACGTTTATTTTTTATCAGTTCTGTAATTAAATTCGTGTTTCTTAATCGCCTTGTGGTATTCAAATTTCGAATTTAACGCGTATTTTTATTTTACTGTGTTAAAAAATGACACTATGTATATTGAAAATATGATTTAAAACGTAGTTAAAGGAAACTTTTTGATATCGCCGAAAATTCTTAAAAAATTCAAAATTAGTTTTCGTCCATTTCTACAGTTTCTATTCCCCTCATCTTTTCCGAGCATGGTAAAGAAAATCAATGTAAGAGTTACGTAATTAAGAAATTGGTTCATATTTACATTAATCCATGACAATTAACTTGTTTTATTTATTCGAAGGGATATGAAGCCATGAAAGTCACACACGAAATACACCTCGCTTGTTGTTACTCGTATTTTTCTAGAAAAATACAAGTCTTCCTGCAACGTTATATCTTAATTATACCCTGAATCACTGCAGTGTTGATGTACACAAGAAGGTCAAGGCTATATACATATAAAATCGATTAATTGGGAACTGGAATGATTCCAACTCCTGAAATAACGAGAAACTAGTATTTCCAAATTTATAACCTAATCCATTCTCGACATCTATTTAAAGCTCTTGATAATTTATATTGAATTCCTCTGATGTTATGTAGGTAAATATTTGGAATGAAAACAATTCAAAATTATTCAAATTATAGAAACTGAAAATCAACACAACTAAATTAGGATCATTCGGATTAAACTTCATAAATCACTCCCCAAGCTGTTTATTTATAACCGTGGCAGGTATTGACTTATAGCGTGACGTTTTTGGCTGCGTTCCAAGAAGTACCAGGAAATTACGTTTATGCCACCACCGATGTCACCCTCGTACGCCGAAAATGCGACCTTTTATGGATGTAATGGGATGGAGTTCGTGGAAGCCGCTAAATGTAAACGACATTTTTGTATCGAGAAATAGCGATGGTCTTCCACATAATTCGTATCAGTAATATAGTATGAAAGATACAAAATGGTTTGGTACAAAGGCGATCTATATACCGTGGGTAGCCAAACATTTACTTAATCACATCGGGCCTATTATTAACATCTGCCTAGAGAGAGGCGTTTTCCCATTCAACTGGAAGGCGGGAACAGGCACACCTTTGGCCAAAAATAATAATCCATCCGAACATGCTCGTTGAGTATTTTCTAAATAATAATTTGTTTCCAGTACACCAATCTGGTTTTCGTGGAGGTCATAGTATGAATACTGCATCCACCTTGCAGATGAGGCACTTCACTTGACGATAAATCCAGCACGCTGTTGGTCATGCTTGATTTTTTAGAGGCTTTCGATACGGTCAATCATGAGACTCTTGTGAGTAAGCTAAAGTATTACGGCATGTCAGAAGTTTCTTTAAATTTCTGCAGATCCTACCTAACTCATCGGACCCAAAAAGTGAACACATCTAGACCTTCTGATGCACAGTATATTCCATCAGAGATTCCTCAGGGTTCTGTACTGAGACCTCATTTATTCGTAGTATACACGTTTGATCTGTATAAGTGTGTAGAATATTGTTACATTCAAATGTATGCTGACGATACACAATTAAAATTTTGTTTCAATGAATCCAAATAACATGAAGCATCGTATAAGACTAACCTAGATCTTGATAACGTAATAAAGAATTGCAAGATGTACTCCGCAATTTATCAAAATGTACTGCGATACCATACTGTCCTAAATATTCAAATTACAATGTCACAAATTAAGTATCTTTATTAATCAATGATAGTAATATTCCATTTATGTTAATGCTAAAACTGTGGTTTTTGAAAGGTCGTTTTCCTAAATAATGCGGTCAAGTTATATAATTCTTTACCAGCTAATTATGAGACCTTAAGTTTGCAGAGCTTCAAGAAGAAAGTCAAGTTGCACTTTTTAGGCTCAGCACATTGAGTGATAAATTCAGTTTGCCGAATGATAGCTTGTTTATAAGGTCCGGACTATTGTTTTTATCCTTTCTTTAAGCTCATATTCTATATTTGCCCCTTTTTACTTCTCTTTTACTTCCTATGGTTATGTGGTAGACTAGCCATGGCCAAACTTCGCCTTACTATGATCATTCTCTGAACACGCTTTACGCTGTATACTTCACCAAAGATCTCCTATGTGTTTTCAAAATGAATTTTCTCCAGTTAGCATTGATAGTGTCTATTCTGCAAATCTTTTTTACAATCATAGTAATGCCACAGCATTTCATATCTTAGTAGATAGACTCCAAGTAATATAATGCATATTTTTACTAAATGAAATTTGCTCACCTGAAAGCTGTTGAAGAAGTAATAGAAGCACCACGTGATGATAACGTTGTAGTAGAGCGCGACGAAAAAAGTGACGATGGTGGACGAAATTCCGATGCCTCCCAGCCATGGGTGGATGGTGTTCCACACACCCAACGAGCCAAGGCGCATCTTCTGACCGATTCCCAGTTCGATCAGAAAAAGCGGAATGCCTTCCAGGATCAGCATCACTGCGAATGGAATCAGGAACGCACCTGGAACAGTAATTTTGTGTCAAAGAAATGCTCTACTTACCCAGAGGCACTCTCATAAAGGATTTAGTGAATCGTCAGTTTGTCACTGTTCAGAGCAATAAGTGCGGCATTTGCTCTTTATCATTCACAATATGTATTATTTAGTAAGCTACGATACGAGTACTTCGGTTTTAATAGCTCTTTTATTGCGATTTTGAAAGGAAACACAATATGAGCCGTATTCATAAAAGAGAAGCATATCCTCGGAAGCGTAAGGTAAAAGTATAAGGTCTTGCTTCGGAGAAAAAGGTAGAAGTATAAGAATATCCTTGTTTTCATATTCATAATGATTACCTTATACTCGCGAGGATATCCTCCAAGAAGAAGTAAAAGGTTGACTGGTATTTGTATCTTGAGCGACATGTCCTGACTCGTTCCAGCTTGTAGTTGACGTGGGAGTTCGTTCACTCAGCATCACTGACAGTTGTACTCCAGAGCTTACACAGACCGTTCCATATTTTTACTGGATACAGTTTTTCATCAAATTAATAAGCATGTCATCCTCAAGTGATGAGGAAACTATAGAAAATAATGGCAACGACCTGCAGTTCATAGCAGATATTATTGCCATTGCTCCCATTATTTTGCAAAAGTCACAAGTTCCAAAAATAAAAATGAGAAAGGACGATGCCTTGAAGAAGATGTTGAAAAAATACGAATCAACATTCGGTAAACCATTAGAAACTAAAGGCATATTAAAAAAAATCTACAACATGAAATCAAGATTGAAAAAACATATCTAAAAAAAATCTGGTAATGAAGCAATTACATTGTCAGATTGGGAAAGAAAGTTGCTGGAAGCTATGGAAGGTGATTATAATCCTACAATTGGGACAGCTAGATGTGCCATTCAAGAATGACGTGAACAGTATTACAGCGCCAGGAATTCAGAAGACATTGCCACCAAAAATAAAATTAGCAGAAGAAAAATACGAAACTGAGGAAACCAAAGGGTTAACTACAAAAGAACTGCAACGTCTAGTGCTATTACAGCAGTACTAAACAAGTATTTTATAACAAGAGTATTATAAAACGAAATTAGAAATGATGCAGCGTCAGAAGCCACCTGTAACTTATGCTGTTCACGAAAATAAAACTTATTATAACTTATAAATACACTTTAATAAGTAAAACTATTTATTATAATACTCAAGTTTCTTCTTATTTGTTGACCTAGTTGGCGGAGAGGAAGTTCGTCATTCTCATGATTTCCTTCATCTTCATCTGGGTCTTGTTCAACTAACTCAAAGTCGGGATCGCCCAAGCTCTTCGCAACATTATGAAGTACAATACAAGCAGTAATTATTTTCGGCACATTTTACAACTTTACGCGGCAAACATACTGTAGGATAGGAAACCGGCGTTTCAGTTGGCCGAAGCAGCGATCAATTATAACTCTTTCTTATTTTAAAAACTTATTATACTTTACTTCTGCACCTGGAGTAGGATTTCTGAAGGGAGTCATAAGGCATGGCTCAATAGCATAACCGTCATCGCCAAGTAGTACAACATTTACTTTATTTATTAGTTGTGACCTAGTATGTGAATTTCTCCATATGCTGGAATCATGCACTGATCCAGGTCAACTGATATCAACACCTGTGAACATCTCTCTGGCATCACAAGTGGTTTACACATTTAAAGTAGGTTTCCCTTTTCAGTTGATATACTCATCTCCATGGCGATTTGGTTTCAGAATTCCCATATGTATACAGTCAATTACACCAATTGCTGTCGGAAATTTATACATGCTTTGCCATATCCATTTGGCCTCCATCAGTTCATGGTTGGTGGTTGGAAACTTGATTCATTCGTTCGACTGTGCAACTATGCTGTTCACAACTCTATCCATAGTCCGAGATACCATTGCTTGACTAACACCAAGTTCCTGACCAATACCTTGTTGATATCCAGGGTCACCGAGATAGATACATGAAAGTGCTCCTCCTCGAGTTTCCTCATTCTCAACTAAAAATCTGTCCGCAAGCCATTGTACATTTGCTTCGGCGAACAGATATAATTTTTTGAAGTCACAACCAAGTGAAGGTAAATGAAGTTTGCACGTTTTAACATCCCTAACATCCACAATTTTCGCCATCATCGTTTGATCACCTTTCGTTACGAAGTTGAGTCTGCTACTGACCACACTCAGAATTTTTGTAGGATAAGGTTCCTTTGCCGAATTGCGGATTGGTCTCCAATTCGTGAAATGAATGATGTAAATGAAGCATGTGATTATTTTTATTCAATCATAAGAGACATTTTCGAGAACAACGTTCCTAAATATAAAATGAATCCTCGTTCATATCCTCCTTGGTTTACAAAGGAAATTATTTTAAATATAAGAGAAAAGGATAGGTTCAGGAATAAGTACAAAGCAACCCATTCAAGCCACTGTTATTTAAAATTCAAAGAACTTCGAGCTATGATTAAAAATCAAATTATAGTCTCCTATTCAGCTTACATTAAAAATGCTGAGGATAGGATCAATAAGGATCCCACTAATTTTTGGTCATTTGTAAATGCAAAAAGAAAAACTCTAGAATTCCAGGGAACATGACGTTTAAGGAAAACACTTTTTTTTCAACTGTGTTTATAAATTCTAATTCTTCTAATTCTGAGTTCATGACTTCAAATCTAACTAGTATGAATAGATCTCTGAACACTGTAAGTGAAGCGAATATAATTCATGCTTCCAGAAAGTTAAAGAATAAAATGACTTCAGGCTATGATGGTGTGCCTAGTTTTTTAATAAAGGATTGTATTCATGTATCGACAAAACCGCTTTGCATGATCTACAATATGATATTATTAACATGCTCTTACCCTCGTATCTGGAAAATGACCAACGTATGTCATGTCTTTAAAAGTGGCGATAGAAGTAATATTTGTAACTATAGGCAGATTGCGATACTTTGCAGTTTTGGTAAGATTTTTGAGATTATTATTTATAATACCATTTTCAACTCGGTAAAATGTACTTTATCTCCTAACCAGCATGGTTTTGTTGCTGGAAAATGAACAGTCACAAATCTGACATGCCTGACTCAAACTATGTCTGAGGTATTAGATGACCAGGGTCAGTTGGATGTCATTTATACGGACATTCGAAAGGCCTTTGATCAGATAGATCATTGCTTGCTTCTTTCTAAGCTTGAAATGATTGGGTTGTCTAAATATTAATTGAAGTTGATCAGATCATATTTATTTGATAGGAATCTGTACACTGAGTTTGGTGGTTTTAAATCTAATTCTTATACAGCAACATCTGGAGTGACCCAGGGATCCAATTTGGGTCCTTTGTTTTTGTGTTGTTTATCAATGATCTGTCGCTAGAATTGCCTGGTATGCATTTACTTTATGCTGATGACTTAACAATTTATACTACTATTCAGAGCTATCACGACTGTATCTCTCTTCAAAACAGCTTGAACTTGGTGCATTCTTGGTGTTCCAGAAACTCTCTTACAATTAATGTATCAGAGTGTAAAGTTCTGTCTTTTAGTAGGAAGCAAAATGTAATATATTATGATTATAGTATCAATGATCACTTACTCGAAAGAACAGAAACGTTCAAAGATTTGGGTGTGGATTCGATGCTAAGCTGACATTCAAGGATCACATCACTCAAATGGTGAATTCAGCGTTTAAGATGCTAGGCGTTTTTGTAAGGAATTGGCCAGGGTTTTCAAACATATCAACTCTAACGCTTTTATATTTTACATTTATTAGAAGTAAGCTGGAATACGCTTCATTAATCTACAACAATTCAAGGGTTAGTATCGAATATGTGCAGCGTAAGGCTTTAAAGTATTTGTATTACAAATGTTATGGCAATTATCCTGAAAGAGGTTTCGACCATTCTATTTTATTAAACATTTTTGATATAGAGTCATTGCATCTTAGACGCGGCATATCAGCTCTACATATTTTGTACAAAATCATACACAATCATGTTGACTGTTCATTCATATTAAGTAAGCTTAATTTTCGTGTGCCTAGGTTGGGAAATCGTGCTCAAATTACTTTCTATCCAGTTACTGGTAATACTAATTTATTGTCTAGATCTCCGGTAAATATGATTTGTACATGTTTCAATTCTGTTTGCAGTTCCTGTGAATTATTTTTTGATAGTGAGAACTTTGTTGTGAAGTGCTACAGAGACTGGTACCTTTGTCAATGAGAGTTTTTTCTTTTTTTAAGTTTTTTTTTTGTGTTTGGCGTTACCGCTGTTGGTAATTGTGTAACTTTTTCTTGTATTTTTTCTGTAATTGGGTGTTACCTGTTGGGAATAAATAAATAAACAAATAAATAAATAAATGCCACGTATAAGGAGAAGATTATGAATATCCTTTTACTTATGTCACTGTTTTGAAGGATATGCTTATACTCAAAAAGCAAAAGCATTTACCTGAAATTATTATAAATACCATCTGGAGGATTTCCTTCAAAATTTGCAAGTACAAGGATATCCTTTGTTTTGTGAATACAACTCAATGTCCCTTACAAGAAATACTATTCGCGTGTTTTTGCATTTATACCTGCGGTGTTCCACAAGGATCTAACTTAGGACCGCTACTGTTCATTCTTTTCGTCAATGATTGACACGACTCTTGAAATGTCTTGAGTTGATGTTTGCTGACGATTAAAAATTTTTCTCTACTATTTCCTCAATAGAGAACAAGAACAAATTAATATATTACTAAGATGGTGTGAATATAACGTTTTACTAAATATTTCCAAATTCAAGGTAATCACTTTTTTTAGAAAGTCTAATCCAACTTACAACATACAACTACAAAATGGAGGATTTCGTATTGGAGCGTTGTGAGACTGTGAGAGATTTAGGTGACTACTTTGACTAACGACTCATTTTTAATGATCATATTAGTCAAATAATTTCCAGTGCATTAAAAAAGACATGGCTTTGTAACAAGTGTAGGAACTTTGACAATGTCCGT